ACACATTAAAGGGAGAGTCAGTGATTCTGCAGAAGGATTGCTGATGTTTGAACTCAGCTGCCAACAAAAACACCCCTCCCATCAGTGGTCCCTTAGAAGCTCCACCCCCCCAAATCTTAAATCTCTGAGGTTGCTCCAGCGTTGAAATGCCTGGCCCGGTCATATAACTTTCTTTTCTGTTTACACTCTGCAGAGCTTTTCCTCTTTGGCTTTTGGCTTTTAATTTTTTCTAACCCATGCTGCTTGTTGATGTTTGGGACAGTTCATCTCTCACTACCTACAAGAGCTAACTTTGTGTGGTCTGGTTAGCACTATCATTGCCACTAGCTGCCCTTTCAACTGGAATCTCATGTGTCATGTTGTGTATCTAGAGCTGACAAATGTCAAAGTGTGCCGAGTGGAGAAAAAATTGTAAATGGGAAACCTTCTTAGGCCAGCATTTTGTAAATGGTCACTTTTTGTGAGTAGATCTGTCATTTCCGTTACATAATGCATTGTGGGACATAGCGTCCATCAGCAGCAGGACACATGCATGGCAATGTGGAGACTGAGCTGCCACTGCCATGTCTGTGTGGGAGGATGAAAACAGTCTCTAATGACTCCCCTCTCTCTTTCTCTCTCTCTCTATCTGTAAAATGAAACCAGAGTTTGCCGGCTCACTCACTTCCTTAATAAACAAAATGTTTTTCATAAAACTGAATGATTGAAAAATTAATCTAATACATATATGATTAATTAAGGATTAATGAATTGTAGTCCATCCATCCATCCATCGTCAACCGCTTATCCTGCGTACAGGGTCGCAGGGGGGCTGGAGCCAATCCCAGCTGACATCAGGCGCAAGGCGGGGTACACCCTAGACAGGTCACCAGTCCATCGCAGGGCCACACATAGACGAACAACCACTCACGCTCACACTAAGGACAATTTAGGGTCACCAATTAACCTAGACCGTATGTCTTTGGATGGTGGGAGGAACCAGGAGAGAACCCACGCAGACACGGGGAGAACATGCAAACCTCACAGAGAAAGGCCGGGGGTTCGAACCCACCTCGACCTTCTTGCTGTGAGGCGACAGTGCTAACCACCGGACCACCGTGCCGCCCTAATGAATTGTAGTAATTTAATTAATTAATTTGGGGGTAAAAAAACAATTTTGTGTAAAGAATATGTAGTAATAATATATATGTAGGTGAATCAACTGTTTCTCTCAGACTTTAGCTCTCAGACCAATAACTAAAATATCAGATTTATCTTGATTTAGCTGGAAAAAGTTCTGTCATCCTTAGGCTTAAACACAGATGAATGCAATCAAGTTGACGATATGATTCATTCAGACATATAGATATACAGCTGGCTATCGTCTGCGTAGCTTTAGAAATTGATTTTGTGTTTTCCAATAAGTACCACAGATTGAAAAGAATTGGACCTAAGATAGAGCCCTGAGGGACGCCCCTTTTTAAGGCTTGGTTGCCCATGGCGTTCCTATTAGTGGGAACTGGGATTTTTAAAAAAAAATGTATTTAAGTATTTATTACAACTAGAGCTGAAACAATTCAATGATCAGTCTATGGACAGAAAATGTATTTGCAACTATTGTCACAATGTGACAAGGAGAGCTGAACTTTTCAAACAATTTTTTAAATTAAGCTTAACTAATGTGTGACATCTATCTCAGTTCTTTTTGCATCACCCTCTTCCTTTCCATCACCTCCATTTCTATTTTTCCTCCATAACCTCTCTGCTGTGTTTGTTCTCTCTGTTTCTCTGTATTCACTTGAAATGGCTGCTTCAATAAAACATACCCTGATGTTTTTATTGACGTTTAGAAGCCCTTGACTCTTCAAACGTCTGTATAATACATTGATGTGTTTGCTGTGAGTGTTACCAGCTCTTTAGGCTTTACTTTCACTCAACCCTATTCAAGTGAATAGAGAAAAGGCTTTAAGTTGAAAGAATGCCTCTTAGCTGCCCTTTAGGAAGACTTGACCTCTTGGTTAGCAGTTGCCATTAACAGCCGAGCTGCGTTTTTAAATGTCTTTCTTCTGTATAGAAGTGGACAAATGTGCTTAATTTCTGTGTCTGGCTTAAAAAAATGTAATTTCACCACTTATGTAGACTGGGTCCAGACGTATGAACCGGCACCCGCATATCAGATTTTCTCAGCAATTTTAAACTGTCTGGTGATGCTCTTGTGAATCGCCAAATGCTGCATTCATGTCATGTGGGAGTTACTTTAATTACCAGTTTCTGACATGGATATGTGACGTAGAGATAACTCCTATGATGTGATGTGATGAGAATAATTTTGAAGCGGATGATACTGATAAAGGCTATGATTACAATGGATTTAGACTTGGAGCAGAAAGAAAATGATGCTGATGAAGATATTAAAGGAATAGGTCAACATTTTTAGAACTATGCTTATTCGCTTTCTTTCTGAAAGTGAGATGAGGTTATATAAATGTTGCGTTTGTGTGTACAGTAGAGCTGGAGTCTAAATTAGAATGAAGACTATAAGAAACAGCTGGGAGACAGCTAACCTGGTTCTTTCCGAGGTTCAAAAATCTACCTTTCAAAACCTTGAAAGCAAACAGAATTGTAAAAACAGAAATTTGAACGCTGAACTGATCAGAGGTAAGAGAAGCTGCTGCTGACGGTGGACGTGATGAAGAAGTGTGTGTTCTGAAGGAACTGCACCATCTATCAGTTTTGCATGGTCTTGGTTTCAACATCCCATCCTGAACTCCATCATATGGCCGGGAAGATTATCCTCCTATGTCCTGACAGGCTGCAGTTTGTGCATCCTGCACAAGCACAATAATTCACCATAATGAAAAATGGTGAAATGCAATGTAAAACTACAGAAAAAAAGGCTGCTCACTAAATTACAACAGCTCAGATCATCACCTACTGCTGCACATTACGCAGTCAGGGTTGATGAAATGATCACATGTTGCAAAAGCATTTTTAGGGGCATTGCTCAAATTCCTCTGACTTTTTTCCTATATGTCTTGTAAAACATATAAAACCCTGCATCAACTTTTCAATTGGTCATTTTCAGGAACAGTTTCAAGTGTAAATGTAGTTTTCAAAAATTCCTCCTGCAAGTTGCTCTTTAACACACAGACATGAGATTGATATTGATCTTCTCATCTAACTCTCAGAAAGCAAATGAGTGTATTTCCTAAAATGCTGAACTATTTCTTTAAGATGAGCACAATATTTAAGTGGTAAGATGATCATGCTGATGAATCATTGCGGTGAAGATGATTATGATGGTGATGATTTTGTTATTGATGGTTTTCTCACTGATTAACGTTATGGCTGGATATAGTTATTTTTTATTTTTTGACACTCGTGCTGATACTATACCAGGGTTTTTATACTGATACCAAAACCATATTTTTGTGATACCTTACTTGAGACTTACTTACTTGAGAAATATAAACATTTTTCTATAGTTTTTTCAACTAAAGTTGTTCATTACAATGCTCTGAATAAGAATTCTGACCTTTATAACAGAGTATGAAACACTTTGATTTAAATCAGGAACAGTATGATGAGAAAATTAGTTAAAAAGATTTTAAATCTCACCAGGCATTTGTTGCCTTCAGTTACTTTTTGATACTCAGTGCGACAGACAAATTTTGGTCTGCAACAAAACAGTATGGTGTTTTGCTACTCAGTCCTTTTCAAGATAGTGATTGTTATGAGGTGAGAATGTGGTGAAATGGCGATTATGCTGTTAGGGTAATAATTAATGATATCTAGGTCAAATTACTATGATCCTGTATAACAAAGGACGAGGGAGACACTCTGTGAGAGAGCAGCGGGACAGCTGACTCATACAGAGAGCAAAAAATAGAGAGAGAAGGCGAGTGATTCTCCGTATTATCTGCTGATCTCGTTTTGCAGTTAGGGATGCATTTAGCAACACACTGATGTCTGTGAGGGAGACTGAGAGAGCTGATGAAAGACAGAGGAACCCTACTTCATTGATCCTATTGATTCAACCCTTACCTTTACAGAAAAGCCACCCCTCCCCCGTCTTTACTCTCGCCCCTCCTCAAACCGGTAAACCCCCTTTGAATAACATAATTGCGTGTTTGATCCTCACTGTAACCTCGATCAGAGGGAGAAAAGTCTGATGGAATCACTCAAGCGTGCTCCTCCATTGACGGCAGACTGCGTTTGTGTGTGTGGGCGGGTGATTTTGATTGATCCCTTTTTACTCGTAAATGTGTCTGCACTTAAAAAAAAATACCTCGTCTGGGGTGAACTGCTGCTGAGTTGCTTTTCATCAAGCTACAGTAAGCAGAAAACAGCAGAGACAGAGAGAGGGAAAGGTTTTCCGTTAAAATGTATTTACAAGACAATACAACTCCAATAATCAGACCAGTACTGCCTCCATATATTTTAAATCTTCATTCATGTCAATTGGATGAAAATATGAATATCCTGCAAAAGTGTATAGCCCAGTGGGGTTGGAAATGTTTTGTTGTTAGTACAGATGTCAAAGCAATGCTTTTTTTCTGATATAAACATGTTTTTCTACAAAGTCCAATCTTAATTTAACAAAAGAAGCTGTTAAATGTTGTCAAATATATGTATAATAGTACAAAATAGGATAAATTAAATTAATTATGATCCCTGAAGGTGTGGCCAAGCACTGTGGAGAAAACATAGACATGCCAGGAGGAGGAGAGAAAGAGGGAAGGTGGGGCTGAGAGGGACCATTAAAAGGAGAAAATCCCTGAAGGAAAGTGGCACTAAATGCTGCAAACAGATGTGTTCATGAGCGAGGGACATGGTTAGTGTTTGTTGGTTTTGAAATCCATGGTTGCAGAGCTGCACTCAGCACGTCAGAATATCATCGCTACCCATCCCGAGTTGATTTTTATAAAACAAATCAATGGCAAATCAATGTAGATAAGCAGGAGGTGCATATGCATGGAAGTAATATTGAAAATAAAGACCTGTATGCTCTTTTCTGTCAGGTGGAAGTACCTCCAGTTACTCAGAGCTACCAGAGCATCATGATGATCAACACAAGTCCAGTCAGAGCTCTGAGGAAATGCCAGGTGCAAAACAAACACTCCAAAAGTACACTAAAATGATAGATATGAATATTTCTTTCTGTAGCCTTAACTATGGAAGTGACATTGACTAACACTTGTAACTGAAGCCACTTGGCTGTTTTTGTGTGTAGCAATAAAACTAAAAGATATGTGACTTGCATAAACAGTTCAACCAAACAGTTACAGCAGGCCTGTTGTGAATGTGTGGACATTGGCCTGAACTGAGGTTAGACTCCAGGCCTGAATTGTGTAATGTCTCTTCTGATTTTACCATTTACTCCTGCCATTTCATGCTTTCCTCTACTTTTAACCTTTATCCTCCTTGTGTTTATCATCTCATTGTTTGCTTTTGTTTTCCCTTTGCTTTTAGTTTTTTTTTTTTTTTTTTTTACATGATTTTAGTTTAGGTTTTATTTTATTTTATTATTATCCATAACATATTATGACTATGATCCTAGATGACTGAACCTCTAAGCAGATGTTATTGCCAGTAGTAGCTGTAGTAGTAGCCTGTTTCTTTATACCCATAATCAAATAGCAGGTGCAGTAGATTTAGTAGCAAAAGTAGGAAAAGTAGCGGTGAAAATAGCACTGATGTTTTCATGTCCATCCTTGTATAAATAATGGTTTAACACATTTACAGTTACAGAGGAAATATTTGGGTTTCTGAGAGAAAAAGAGGTTAACAGAACATTTGTTAGATGACTCAAATGGAAAGGCTGTTAGTAACAGTCGTTAACAGCTCAGCTGGATAAAAACACTCTTTAGCTCACAGTCAAATGTTTTAGCACAAAGATCAGCCAGTAAATAGTGGGGTCCAACGTCCAAGATCATCTCGAGCTTAGACTTTGAATAAACAAAACCAAAACTGTGACACGGTTTCAGGCTCATGTGGGGTTTTTTTTTATGTACTACATAATATGTCCCATCCATAGATAATAACATGTTTATGTCCCATCTGTATAAATATTAATAGGGAATTGAACAGCACCTGTTTATCCAGAAGATAATAAAAATAATTATCCAGCACACTAAAATCTAAATAAAAAAAACATTAAAATGATAAGGTATAGATATGAAACAAGTCTATAAAATAGGTTTATTCAAAACAGGTTCAAAATAAATAGAGCCACTTGCAAAATGTGCACCAACCTGACATGGCATTTATACTGTGCTTTAAAAGCTCAGGCTGATGCTGATGCAATTATGATTATTATGATTCTTATTATGAGTCTTTCAGTTACAATTGCTGTCATTTTATGTATGATGAGTCAAAGCAGCTTTCTCTCTGTCACACAGGCATGTTTTTAAACCCAGTGTGTTTATGGAGTTCTTAATATTCAGATCAATAGTGCCACCTGTCAGTGCCAAACTGTATTACATCCACAACAGTTTAAATACTGACAATGCAGAGGATTAACGCTCATTGTTTATAACATTTCACCTATTTACCCAGAAGAACAGAACAGTCATCACGTAATGAACAACAGGGACATTTAGATTTGAGTCGTTCATAACTGCCAGATTTTCACATTCTTAAAACTGAGACAACGAGATGTTGTGTCATGTTTGTACACCATGCTCTGTAAAAGTCGAGGTTAAGTACAAGTACTTCAGACTTCAGTCCGTCCAGGACATGGTGTGGTCATAAAATCAAACATGGAGTTTGAAAATGTTTCCCTTAGTGTAAACGTCATGTGTTTTTATCATGAAGACTCGAAAGCTACTCAAGCATCTATCATGAGACAAAGACAGAGAGCAGCAGAGAAACAAAAAGGCACTGTGAGGAGACAGGAGGAGGAGTGAGTGTGTGTGTGTGTGTGTGTTTTTTTTACAGTGACGATAGTTTCCCCTTACATAATAGTTTTGTGACTGAATTGAGTCCTTAACCTGATTGGTACTGATCAGCCAGGCTATGACTCGTGCATACTTAATTCACAGAGGTAATCAAATCAAACACACCCAGACAGTATGGGCACAGACCTCCTCCCCCTCCTCAGCCATCATTGGTTAAGATACAACAGCAGACACATTAGAGGGTGTGTTATTACTATTATTGTTTATTTTATTTTCCTTTGAGCTCATGATTTAAAAAAAAAAAAATCTAAGAAATCATTTAAATAGACTTCACACATCGTAGGTTAATAAATAAAGTGATGAAAATTTGGCCTAAAGCTAAATTATTGTTGGTTATGTTTCCATCTACCTTGTACATACAGTTTAATATTTAAGTACATTTAATATATTTTTGACCACATAAATTACAGGCGTCTTCAGTTCAACCTTATGGTAAATCTAACTGCCCAGTGTCAGGAAAATCATTAAAGCAGAAGGCCGCATGTAAAATGTAAACCATTAATGACATTGAAGACAACCCATTACCATTTACACTTAGAGCTGTAATATCACAGTGAGTACACAAACTCGACAGTGCACTGCTCGATCTTCTGAAGCATGTTTCACTTCAGATAAGGGAGAAAGACAATAAATACAGTGTAGTGTACAATATACTGAAGGACGCAAAGGATATGCTGCTAGGTGCTGCCTGGTTGTTTAGTCCACATCAGAGTAGACAGCTTTCACACCAGCCTGAACAAACCAAACATGAAAACACACCAGATTAGTTTGAAATAAACCAAACAGGCTATGAGTGGTGAAAACATGCTAAATAACTAAACGTTATTATGTCATTAAACTTCACACTGCATTTCACACTTGTGTTTTAGTTGTCATATGATTCTGTTGTGTCCTAATTAGTGAGATATCTGAACCATCTTGGTGAGCTTTAGTAATGGGTTGGTGGAAGACTCAGACAGCATGTAAACAGACATCAGATGTACACATGAACTTAACAACAAGGCCTTCTGTTTGTTTCATGTAACACACCCTGCTTAATCCTCCTCCAATATTCAACTGCTGTTAAAATATTGCAAACGGCAGCACTAACTCTTTTTTTCCCCCCTGTCTCTTCTTCCCATCACCCCACCTCCTCTCCTCTGCTTTCCTCTCATGTCCTCTCATTTCTCTCTCATTGTCTTCTTCCTCCCTCCCCTCCCCTCCCTCCTCGCAGCGTGCAAACGGAAGGAGCAGGACACAGCGAAGGAGCGCAACAGCACACCAAAGAAGTCGCGGCTGGTCTTCACTGACCTGCAGCGGCGCACCCTGCTGGCCATCTTCAAGGAGAACAAGCGACCGTCCAAGGAGATGCAGCTCACCATCTCGCAGCAGCTGGGCCTTGAACTCACCACCGTCAGCAACTTCTTCATGAACGCCCGCCGCCGGAGCCTGGACAAATGGACAGATGACGGAGCCAGTCCCGGCGGCCAATCGTCGGCGTCCAGCACTTGTACCAAAGCGTGATAATAGACGGCGAGGAGAGGGAGAGGCAACCAGGAAGGTTCTTGGGTGGGGCAGGTCGATGGAGGGGTGGGTTGAGGTTTCGTCCGGTCGAAGCCAGGAGGAAAACCAAGCTTTTTACCTTTTTGTTTTTTTTGTTTGTCTGTTTTGCTTTTGTCGAAGGCGACAAACTGAGAGAGGGGCTGCTCACTGTGACGACTTATTTGTAGCCTAACCGCCTTTAGCAAATTCATTGTAAATCCATAAAGAAGCTGAAGGGTAAACTCACTTATAAAACATAGAATCCTCACTGGGAAAAAAAACAACTTATAAATCATAGACCTTCACTGCTGATGTCTCCTGGAGGACAACATGCTTTCCCAAATACCAAAGACAAGAAGACAATGTATGTTTTCTATTATGCAATATAAGCTAGGAACCAACAAACCAAACAAGAAGCCAATGAAAGCTTTATGACTGCAGAATGTGCTAGAAGCTCTGGGATGAGATAAACAAATTTCTGAGGGAAACGTTATGGTCTTTTGACCCACAAAATGTCCAACAATGGCAATGACGCATCTGTTTGGGGCAGAGTCGACGACTCCCATTCAGATTCAGGTTTCAGAGATTGCACAGCCAAATTTAGGAAGCGGTCATTGCTGAATTGTGATTTCAAACTAAAGGAGGTCAGTTTGTGCAGCTGAGGGTGAAGTTGGACTATACCTTAAATATGTATTTTGTGATCAAAAAAGAAACCATGCGATGATTGCATGTCAAAGTTCATTCATGAACTTGGAAATGGTAATTTGACAAAATAATCTTAGGATAAGGCCAACATACTAGCTTGGACAGAGTGTGCACAGTATGCTTATGGGAAAAGCTAGTGGACCTCGTGTTAAGATTATTTCATCAAACGTTTTGCCCAAGAAACTGGTCAGTTTATATATCTGTTGACTAATGGCTGGGTGATGGAGAAATCAGTCCAACAACTGTGGTAATTTGGCTGTACAGTCTCTGATTTTAACCTTCAGGTTCACAGAGAGTAACAGAAAACCAAAGTCTGATCAGAATTGAACAGTTGGTTTCCAAAATGTTCTATATCCATTTTAAAAAAGAAACATGTACCTGAAGTTGATCTCTGGAATATACGATCCAGGTTGTACATGGATTATTATTTTCTTATAAATAACCTATTCAGCTTTCTTTTACAGAGCAACATGTAACGATTTGACTCTTTAAAGGGGGGCAGTGAGGATTCTGGAAGTTAGGAAATGCAAAATATGCAAGCACAAATACACATGGATACACAAACATTCACCAAGGCACACGCAGCTTTACCCATAATTTGAGCTAACATGTAGAGTTACAAGCTTTCTCAGCATACTTAGAGTAGTTCAGTGAAGTATTAGTGTATTATAGATGAATATATACAACTTATGTGAGCACAATCTTGAAGCACATTTTCTTTGCAATAGAACCGGGGCTCTCTGCCAAGCCGAGTGGTCTTCACATCTTAGAAAACTCAGGATACCATTTTTTCTAAACAGTGGCTGACATCCAATCGGCATCTGTCATTACACACTGTAATGTACAAATGCACACACAAACACACACACACACACACACACAAGCAAATACACCTGCTTTATAGAAACACACACACACAACTTTAAAGAGTCATTTTTACCGAACGTTCCCCAGAATTCCTGCCCCAACCGAAATATTGTCAGCTGAACCAAAGCTAAGCTCCAGTTTACCCTGGCTTCACTCACCCATCACTTGTGTTACCATGGTAACTGATCCATTAGGGCAGCGGTTTCCACCAAGCATCTTAGCATTAGCATAGTCTTTGTTTTCAATCAGAACAAAGACGCTTTTAACCCTGATGAAAACTGGTGCTGTTCGATGATGAGAGCTGTAACTGAAACTAAAAGTTGTTTTGAGATTTGAAGGCATCGTTTTTTATGCACAAACTCAGTAACATCTCTCTTTCAGAGACAAAATGCCAAATCCACAAGCCTGGAACACACAAAACACACAAAAAAAATTCTTTATCTGCTGTGACTTCTCCCTGTTTAGATGGGTATAAAAAACTGAAAAGAAACATGTGGAAAGTCTCTGAAAATTAAATTTGTTTGGACACAACAACCACAGCAGAGAGAATGTCAACAATACATAACAAAGACATAAAAAATAACAGAAAGTTAAACACAACGTTTAATCAAGAGTGCTGGGTTTCAAGACCTCCTGGCCTTCAATAAATCAGCAGAAGCCACAAAATGTGGTTACACATATTGATTTCTTGAGTCATTTCTATCAAAGATTTGTGAAATGAGCATGCAAAGCACAAAACAAGAGGTAGTTTGACACTTAAGGCCTCGGTATGCTTCAAACGTGTCCCCTAACCATGTTTATACGTTTACCAAAATTGTCGGACGCAGCGCAAAATCTTCCTGTGTCCGTGTCCAGAGTTTGCGCTTATTTCACAAATCTTTGACTGTGTTCGTTTAGCATTGCTGAATAGGTGCTTGGTTGAAACTTGCTCAGAGCCTTACAAACTAGATTTTACTTGTTGGTGTAAATCCATCTGTAGAACTAAGGTGACTTCAGGAAGCATCCTGCTGCCAGCGCAGATACCACAAAAAACAAACAAACCACAAACCACATCCAGTGACATACACCACAGCAGAACCAGTGAACCGTCTGAACCCGTGGAGGACGAACTGTCCAGGCAGATCAGGGCCTTTGTAATAGTTAAAGAGGACAATCTAAAGACGATGCCTGGCAGGTCCGTCTCTTCTAGAGGGTCAACGGGCCAGAAAACAGTTTGCGCTGCAAACAAATAAGTTTTGTAAAGTCATTTATTAAGACTTTTGTGTTCATTCATCAAAATGAGAAAATTGTAAATGAACTCCTTGTTGATTGTGGAGAAATGTACCACCCAACAGTTGGAAAAAATCTGATTTTGGTGACAAAACTCAAGATACAATTTGTTTGCAGCACAGGAGAGTTGGATGCTTGGTAAAAAACAACAGCAGACAGACAGATGAACTGAAACACAGCCTGCCTGTCTCTCTGACTGTCTTTTCTTCACCAAGCATCCATCCCTACCAAATCCCAAAACACCCATTGCTTTTAGTTTGACACCGTCACACTGTACAGCTTCTACACATGATGTAAATACTAACACACCCAAAAAAACCTCAACCGCCACCACCTCCTGCTCTGTTTTAACAGCCTTTACCATCCCCAATCACCTCATCAATCATCTCTCACTCAAGCTATCAAACCAAAAAATAGAAACAAAACCAAAGGAAAGGCGTCAGTCAGCAGCCCCTGCTCCTTCGAAACCCCAGGCTGAGTCCCGGCCTGTTTCGAAGCAAGCCAAAGGCTTTAAGAACGATTTAAAACAAAAAATGGACACTTGAGACTTTTTCTATTTATTGACAAATCGAAACCAAAGAAAACCTTTTTCTGCACCTAACTGTTCCGACAAATGGAAAAAAATAACTGAAGATGGAAGAGAATTATTACCAAAAAAAAAAAACAACAAAAAAAACAAAAAAGAGTGGTGGCGACGATGTCGAGGATGAAGGATGAAGGATGACGACGACGAAGAGAAGGAGGGAGGATAGAAGGAAGGATGACATCATGGGAGAAGTAGCTTTATTCTGCCTGATATTGTGTCAGGCCATCTTTAAGGGAAGCAAGTTGGGGACTGAAAAGGGTAAAACCACACGGGAAGGAAGGGAAGGAACCTACAGAGGATGCTGTCGACCGTTTTCTTCCCTCCTATCCCCCCAAAAAGGCAGAACATTAATGTGTCTCTCACGGTTGAAGAGTGTCTTTAACGTGTGCCTATGCAGTTTTTCAAAGTAAAAAAAGGTTAAACGAACAACAGAAACCTCATCAGCTAACAAACCAAAGATTCACCGTTAAGTCCAGTAGCAGTCCTCCTCCCCCCAAAAAGGAAAATCTCAACTTTTGCTTAAACAGCACGTACACACCTTTGGCACAATGTGCATCCACGCTGGGAGCAGTGTGCTGTGGGAAGAATTGTTATTCTACTTCTGTTGTATGCAAACCTTTCTGGTTTAGCATGTAGGATAATCAAGCTAGTGTCATTTTCCTCGTCCTTCAACCCTTATTAAAACTGACAAACTTAAGACAGGATGTTGCATCACAAGTTCTTTCAGGATAGCCAGTATTCTGCTTGTAAGCTAGCGAATATCTAGCTTAATTTACCCACAAACCATTATTATGTCTCACAAAGCTAAAATGTGTAGATCTGGTATTTTGACTGGTCATTCCTCCAGCATGGCATTAACACATTCAGCCATCACAAACTTTTACCATGGCCACATGTTAGGAAGAACTTGTGAAAGAGAAAAAAAACATTTGAAAGTTTACCAGATGGCTGCTACTGCTGTTTGCGTTTAATTTTTCCTCCTGCCGCAAGTCATTACCTGCTCCACATGACAAAGTCTACCTCCAACAATCTCCAGCAGTAGTAAGAAAAGCTGCCAGACAACAGTACAGGGATGTTTTATCCCCCCCCCCCCCCGTCCTTATGGTTTGACACATTTGAGCCGGAAGCAGCTTGGTGCGTCAGCATCCAGAAACAACATCGACAAGCTGTTGACGCTTACTCAAATGCTTCCATATACCATTTTCGCTTCCACCCGATCTGGGGATTCAAACAAACCACTTTTTCATGTTAAGCTGGCTGTTGTCCGGCGCACTTGCTACTGCAGAGAGAGTGACAATTTAATGCTATGTGAAACGTACAGTACATACCAAAGATTTTCTGCTGTACGAACAGTAGCACTCCGACACCTTTTCTTTTCTCCACACCCATTTAAGAGTCTAGAACAAATCCTGGATCTGTGATCTAGATCAATCAATTTCACTTACATTAAGTTATTCAGTGTTGTTTAAATCACAGTCTCTGAGTTTTTACTTTTCAACCCAAACCCAGTAGAAACCAGCTGAACCAGACAGACTTAGGTTGTTTTGAGAAGGATTTGGACATTTAATCTATAAATAAAAACACTAACAGAGAAAGAAATTCACTGAAAAACATAATCCATTCTGAACACTGCAGAGGAGTATAAAAAAGAAAACATGCTTCCTCACTTTTCTTGTTTGAAATACGTGCAAGACTTATATACTTAAGAAGTAATATTACTTCGAAAACAAGAAACTAAAATCATAGATGTGGTACCAGACCAGGAAACTCATGTACTGGGGACAATCTGGGCAACAAAGAGTTTGAGTTTTGACTACAAAACAAACAAAAATAAAGCACTGCTGGCTTGGGTGGAAAAGTTTAGAAAGGTGGCAACTTTTGTTTTAGCCCACATTGCCATGCTGGAGGAGGAGTCTTACAGAGCGTGATGCTTGGACATGCTTCTGTAACTGTCCATAGCTAACAAATCCCATGTTAGCTTGTTCTTTAGGGGGGAGGAACTGTGCTGCTGCTCCATATTAACAACAACAATAAATGAAACAAAACCAAAAAAACACTACATCCGCTGAGAGAAACTGCTAAAATATCGGTCAAATAGCTTTATCCTCAGTTTTCTCTCTCTCTTTCTGTATGTAAAGCTTCTAGTCCAAAGAAATCTTCCGCCCACCTGACCCTCCCGTTCTGCTGACCATGCCCAAAGGAGGGGCGTGGTTTTTGGCTCAGGGGGTGGCGGCCATTTTCCATTCCCACTTGCAGTTCTGTCTGGATGTAACACAGGCTAAACCTGCCAAACCAAAAAAAATGGGTATGAAACTGTCCCAAAGAGGTTTTCATAGCTTGTTTGTTTTTAAGTACTTAAAAATTATTTGCCAATACTTATGTGTCTACTATTACTACTATGTTCCTTCCTAGGTTTTTGCAATATGTGATTTTTTTTTTATTTAATGTAATTTATGTTTTCTTTTTAATTGTGAATTAATTTAAGCGAACAAATTTTGTTGCCAAATCTCCCTCTGAACCCTTTTACCCTTGATGATGATTAGCTTTGCCAAAGTTTACATTGTATGTTCCCTTTTCTTTCTGTTCAATGCTGTATTTATTTATGAGGTGTTTTAGAACACACTAGTTTTGTACTTAACAATAATTTAATCTTATTTAATTAGATGTAATTGTTTTTTGATGAATATTTATGAATATTTAAGAATGTTAGTTGCATCAAAGATGCAGTGCTTATGCCAGGTCAGTTAATTTATTCTTAGTTAGCTTTACTTTAAAAAGCAGTGATATTGTTTTATGAATGTTTAGACTTAATGACAGAACAATGTAGGAATGTCAGATTAGACTTGCGTACTTCTGAATGTCAACACTCGCTCTCACTCTTTAGCCAATCTAGTTTTTTGTCCTGGTAATGATTTTTCTTTTTCAAAAATGAAAACAATCTCTTTATTACAAACAATAGCCTACCAAATGATGAGCACTGCATCTGTTTTTCTTTTCCGCCTTGTGATCTTTATGGCTAATTTATTGGTTGTTTTGTTTTTAATTTGTTTGCATCCTACTGACCATTGTTGAACAAGCAACGCATTTCAGACTGATGTTCTAGTGACAGGACCACACATTGATATAAACTGACTCACCAAAGCTAACTGGAATCCTTAGAGGCCAATAAACTGTGTGTGTTTACATCCGCACAGCCTGTACCCTGGTTAAGATCTTATTCATACATTTACTTTTAAGTACTAATTATATACGTTCAAAAGCGCCGTTTTCTGCCGTAAAACCACAGATCACTGCATGTTAACCGAGCACTCTGGAGTTTGTTAGTGTTTTTTCTTCAGGGCATTTTCTCGCACATCAATTCTTAGACAAGATTATTTGTTCATCATTTTAGAATCAAACTATTTGAGCTGCATGTCCTGTGTCAAACACCTGCGTAACTAAATTAAACAATATCAGAAATGCTCTTTATATAGACTGTGGAAGTCTGAAGAGGATAAAGGGTCATTTTGATTGTTTCATGATAAAGAAAAAATGTAAACTTTTATTTCGCAATCACAACCCTAAGGAGCCTCTAAGAGGACATGAGCAAAAACTGGTGCACACAAGAAACCTTGAAGAGTAACTTAACACTTAGATTAAATATACTGTCACTTTATTACACTTTCTGTCGATCATGGTCTCATTATATTATATTCTTCTTATGGCCTTCATTGCAACAGAAGTTATTTTCCTTTGTCTAGAGAAAATCTAGTAATTCCCCTCAGGGTGTGTGTCATGGTTCAAATGCATTTTTTGCATTTGTGAAGGTGGCAAGTTCAAGCTAAAAAGCTAATTAAGTTGCTCTTAAGTTTCTGGCGTGCAATTCCATCTGCTCCAGTTTCTGATGTACACTTGTCCAACCCAACAAGCTGTTAAAAATATTTTGATGATCACCAAATAATTATGTTGCGATCAAAACAAAACATGTTCTTAAAAATGTCCTCTTCAATATTGCTTAAAAACCCAGAGCTTTAGAGGAACAACATAAAGCATGACGTGGTATTTAGTGCGATTCCATACGGCAGAGAAAATCTGCTCATTTCCAGCTTTTTCAGTGATTCTCTGTTTCAGTATAAGAGCTTTTCCAGGTTATTGTAAACAGGATGTGAACTCACACCACCTCTACAGTAAAATACCTGATGTGTTTCCCATTTGTTACCAGAATATTTGTGTGTGACTACGTGAATGCAAACACACCGACTTGTTTCACTCATTAGGAAGGAAAACTGAGGAGTCCCTTAAAGCTAGCTGCTTCCAAGACTGACTTTGTGTGTATGTAAAAAGAAAAAAAAAACTTTCTACTTCAATAGTGAGAACCAGAGAGGCTACCTCACTGACTTTCCATTTGTCCTTTTAATCGTGTTGATGAAACCAAAGAAACCAAAGATTTGTGTCCTATTCGGTACGGTCTGCGCTCAGCCCCATGTTTTGTGCTCTCTTAGGATGATGCCACATTTTGTCCTCTTTTCTCTCCCTTCCTCTTTCTCTCATTTCCCTTTCTCTCTTGGCCTTGCATTGTCTGTTCTCCTCAAAAAGAATGAAAGAGTCAGGTGTAGAGTGGGATTAGGTTGGATGCTAGATATCAGGGAGTGTGAGCAGAAATACACAATTCTACATTTTTAGGCCGCGAGTGTTAGAGCAGAGTATGTTTTTTATTTTAAATTCAGTCAAACAAAAAGGCTGCTGGAGACAGAACCCCAAACTTAGATGAAAAAACATTCCATTGTTAGCTATAAAGACGATCTGTAAAATGGGTTTGTGACAGGTAAATAATGGTGATGATCAAATATGAGCCCAGTGGGGTCTGCTTTGTCAGTTGTTTTCCATACTCTTCTGTGGCGGAAGAAGTAATGTTTAAGGCTTCAGTATGCTTCAAACAAACTTGATAGCACAACAAAGGCAGAAGTGTTTATACCTGTCCCTAATGGCACCACTACAGCAAGAAAAGTCTGCTGTCATCGAGGATCATAATTCAGGATCACAATGCTGTTTTGCAGTAAAACATAGAAGCTGCAGATTCATGAAGCCTCAATGGTTGTATGGCCCTGACACCAGAGAAAAAAGTACTCTGGGCTATTTATGCCCTTTTTCTACTTTACCCTATCTTGCTATCAGTAAATAGATGGCTGACTGTTACCAAGTTTGTGCTGCGTAGCAACGACAATGCTCCAACACTGCTCTGAATCTTTAAGCTCAAGGCTGAACTTTTCAGTTAGAGCAGTAGGAAGCCAAGAGAACTACTTAAGGTCCTGAAGTCAAATTGAAAGAGCAGCTGTTAACGTTATTGAGTCCCACCAGAAACTGCTGTTGCTATGAATCACTCTCCTGCTTTCTCAAAAACAACCCAATGACCTAAAACGAAGGATCTCACACAACCAGACAGGAACCACGTGGGTCATTTTCTTATGCACAGCAGTGCTTTTAGCTAAATTCTAATGTCAACATGCTCACAGTGTCAATGCTAAAATGCTGATGTTTACGTAATGAATACAACGTTAACCATCTTCATTTAGCATGCTAACATTTGTTAATTAGCACCAAACACAAAGGACAGCTGAGGTTGTTAAAAACCAATGTATTGGACAAACAGAAAGTTTGACCCAATGATAGCACTACATAAAAAGTCAGGGTTAGGGTTTGTTTCTTCATTAAAACAGCCATAAACATGTAGAATTAGATGCCTGGGATCTACACATCCAGCTGTGCCATTTTGCTTCCCTTCTTACAAGCATTGGCTTAAAAATCAATCAGGGAAGCAGAATGGCAACAAATCCTTTGCTTCCTCTGGTTAGAGTCAAGGCTTGAGATAACCTTGGATGAGTGCCTTGCTTGGACCAAAGCGAAGTCTAGACCTCTCTGTTGAGCTGTGAACTTTCTATTCCTGTGAAAAATAAATACCTCAGCGCTGCGGCTCAGCTCGAGCGCCTGAGTTTCCTTTCTGCTCTCTGGTACTTTGCAATGCAATCAACGGACAGAAATCCAGAGTGTATACCAAAGGCTCCTGTTTTGTTTGATTCTTCTCTTTTACTATCCCCTCTTTTCTTCCTTTCATTCTGAGCTGGATTTCCACCAGAAAGGCCTGTTTTTTCAGATCTAGTCACATTCCCACAGCTGTCCAACGGAGAAACCAATTCAAATCAGATTTTCCTTGTGCTGATACACAGATCTAACTGAAAAGTGTAGAATTCCAGAAATTAAATCATTTGAAAATAATATTGTTTGTATGAAGCCTGTCTGAGCAGCAGATGAGCAGGAATCAACAAATGAACTCTTTGGCTTTCCATAAATATGGAAGGCCAAATAGACATAAAGACACCTATGTTTCATGATTTCCCATAAGTTGCTTGTATTCTAAGCTACAAAATAATGAATTATCGACTTTGTGATGAATCCAATCAGATCAAATCTTGTTATGTTGACTCCTTGATGGTTACATGATGCTGCCAAGCAATCTTCTTGAGATCATGAAATTCATTATAACAAGAAAACAAAGCCTGTTCTTCTAAGATCTTGAAATGAGCAATTTTGTGATCACAGTATCATCTTTATCTGCACGACCATTTAGACAAACACTAAGTATTTAATATAAATAAATATTAGTACCAGGCTTTGGTGGAAATGCAGCTTGTTCTCTTTAATGCAGTTAGTTCCCTTTCACTGTCCTCCTCTTTCTTCAAATGGTTGCAAAGCTTTATGAAAATACAGAGAGACAAATTTGGCAAAGTTGTGCGCAGACCGTGCTCTCTTTACCAAACTGTTGCAGATATACCTCATAGACACTAGTGTTAGGATGATGTTATAATAGCGTATGTCATAAATGATTCACTTGCTCTTCTTCCTTATTTTTTTTTGGTAACTGTAACTTTAAAACGAAACAAATGTGGGGAAAAAAGCTTTACACATTTTTAAGTTGTGATTTGTTTGTAATAGGTGGGCTAAAACCAAAAATGAAAAATGCTTGTCTTCTTCTATGCTCTCTTTCTTATTGCTGTATTACTGTTTTCCCTGTGTTCCATTTGCTGAGGATTGAGGGATTTTTAATTTAAAATCTTATTTTATTTTTTGGTCTCTGGGTCTTTTGAAGGGGTCATTGTCCCTTTGTGGATATTTTTATGGGATTTGGAAACATTGTTGGAATGATGCCAGAATTTACTTGTTTCAGCCCAGAATAATACCAGCTTTTTTGATCCATTGAATTCGTTTTAAATCCAGCCACGTTTGTTTTTAAGCATACTTTTAATTTAAAGTCTTGTTTTGGTGTCCTTGCTTTCCTATTATAATGCTAACATTACAGTTACATTATCCATACAGCAGTGCTATAGCCCAGATTTTATGCATGAGTATATTTACAATTAGCTAGCTGTGTAATGCATTGTGATTCTTATTATTAACCTTATTGTCATCCTCTCATTTCATTTCCGATACTGTATGCTATACACACAGAGAACTTTGCGTTTCATCTAGCATTAGTATGACCTTTGACCTGCTGATATAAAACTTGGGAACTTGTTTCCATCTTAATCAGTTTCAGAGGGTGAAGCATCAGGGTTTACACTGAGAAGGGATCCCAAGGTTTTCCATGAGCTTCCGAGAGTTCATAAGTCAATTTCGTTCATTTGTTGACTAGCCGTTCCTTTGATGGTGACAGATAAATGCAACGTGATGCACGGGTTATACAAACGGGTTTGAACGAATTGAAAGTGAGAAAGGAAAGGATCGTTAGCCGACTGACAGTGATTGCAGGCTTTCATCGGCCGCAGCTTGGCTCTGCCCTGATGTACTGAAATGTATTTTTGCCTGTTCAAGCTTTAGCGTGGTTCACTCCTGTACATACCAGCTCCCAAACCTGAAAATCTACACTGAGACTAGAGTTTTGAGGGATATTTGTTCATTAATGTTATGACATTTTCCAGTGGCTTAGCAAAATATTATCAGTTTTAACCAACTGTTCAATTAAAAACTACACCAAGCCCTACACTATTAATGCAAGGAACCCTTCAGTGAATGAGAGGGTAGATATTTCCAGGTAGAATTTAGTGTTAATTGGACACATAAATGACACTCTCTGGGTTTAATCATGCAGCAGTCAGCAATCAAACAACACAACAAGAGTGAGAGAAGAAATGGGCCAACGAACAAAATGAATGTAAAAAAAAAAAGGATGTTAAGATTAACATAAAAACCACAAAATGAGAACAATTCTATTAGTAAGAGCAACCAACACTCTTAGTAATTAAGTTAACTCTATCCTACCAACTCACTCAAAATGATGTTACTTCAGTGTTTTCAAAAATTCCCTCAGTGTTTTGTGTTTGTATTAAACTTCATGCAGTGTTAGTTAAAGGAAAATCTAAGTGCATTTAAGAGCACTTCCAGTCCTACTTACCTTCCATAACTGATTAGCTTTAGAACATCAACCAACATCTGTACTTAGAACATAGAAAATGTTGTTGTTTTGAGTGGAATATAGTTTGAAAATGTAAAAATGGGCTACAAAGTGCATAATTGCATCTTTTGTAAGTTTTCTCTTTTTGAATGGTGATGAAGTTTTAGATGCACTATTTTCAGATGAATTTCGGTTAACGCCCTAAAGACAGAAAAACTGCTTGCAGTAAACCAATATTTATAAAGTTTTGGATGACCCAATCACAATTTAAACAGAGATTTTTTTAAATCGCTGGTGTGAAAACTTTCTTATTCTTCATTTTAAGAACATGCTGCTTTTTTGTGGCTTAATGTAGAACATCCACAGAGGTGTAATAGAAATATCTGTTGCCATCCCAGTCATGTCTAAACAGGCATTTTGGCCAAATGAGGATCTTGTACACACAAGTTATTAACTTCCACTATGATCAATTGCCTCTTTCAGGACTTCAGGGGCTTGGTATTAAACAAATCAAATTAAATCAACTGGACAAATGCATTTAACTGCATTTCCCACGTAGACAGGGTTACAGTTGGAACAAAACAAAAAATGCTTTGATTCCAACATGTGCACATAGTAGAGTGCAGCTCTCTGTCAGTTCTGGTTTCACCAAACTGCATATGAATAACACACCGTCTTAAGTCATTACGTGTGTTATCACAATGCCTTTTTTGCTTTTGTGTGTCATTTCTGTACTGACTTGACGGCGTATCAGTTTACACGGGAATGTCATAGAGAAGAAAATGACAGGCAGAGTGATAAAGCCTGTAGGAAGGAGGTGGAGGTGGATGGATAGGTCAAGCAAACACAGGACTTTCACCCCTAGACTGTCTGTGTCCCGTGGGAGACCAAAAGTTAACGTTAACTTATTTTAACTTACGTTCTGACCTACCGGCTGGTTAAGAGGACTGAGGAAATAGCAGTCACTGGCGGTATAAAATGGAGCAGTCAATAAAATTGTTTTATTTTTTCAAAATTGTGAACCACGAGAGGTCCTTGAGCATACAGTCATAAATGTGCACACAAAAGAAAATGTGTCCAGTAGCTGCGGGCGGATACACACATGACCAAACTCCTTACACCTGGAGGAGATGACAACAGAGAGGGGTCAAAGGTCAACGTGGCAGATCCATGACATGAAATTTGAACAAAATCACTATCAGTCCACTTTTTAAATTACTGTAGTCATCTAAAGGTTTCTCAAGAGGCTACTCCTGAGCTAAACATGTGAATTGTATTGGATTATTTAGTCAAGCAGTTTCCTCCCAAAACATCAAATTATCCAATCACACGCTCTCCCGCCAAAACTTCCCCTAATCCAAAACAGTATTTCATTCCTTCCTTTTTACAGACTGTTTTTTCTTTTCTTTTTCTTTTCTGTTTTTTTTTTAACCATTTGTTTTTCATGTCATACAGTAATCACAACTCAAATGATGCATTTTTATTTTCTACATTTGGTTGGAACAGAAAAAGAGAAGTGACTGAAAACTTGTGGTGTGGAATAAAATGATGATCAAACATGAAGGAGATATTTGGAGAATTAATGTTGTTCCACTCTATGTACAAAAAAGGAAAAAAATCAATAAAGAAATCACAATGGTCTTATCCATGTATCAAATATCCTCCTGTTATTTTTTCTCTACTTAAAATACCTCAATGGGAAGCACAATGGCAGGTCCATGTGCTTAGATTTCATATTTTGGGATTTTAACAGAGAGTAAAAAGTACATACTTACTGTAAGTATAGTACTTCAGTAAATATAATAATAATAATAATAAATAATAATAATAATAATATAATAATAATAATAATAATAATAATAATAATAATAATAAGTTACATTTCACCACTGTTCCCCTCCAGTATCACAAATTCCCGTTAATGTTGGAGACATCGCAGGCTGCTTAGGTTTTCTAAGCACTGACATGCCCGCAACAAGCAAGAAGTTGGTGGTTGCTAACGTCTATTTGATCTATATTTTAGAATTATAATATGAAAATAATATAATTATAGTATTTCAGTAAAGATTCCGTACTGAATGTTAATACTTTCTTTTAAAAATCGAAAACTAACATTGACTAGAACACAAAGCCAGTGGTGAACTATAAGCTCCCGCATTTTTTTTCTCTTAACTGTACCTTAATGTCCTGGGTCCTGAGTAGCTCCTGTTTCATATTCATTCGCTATCATATGTAATTATTTTATCCAACCATGCCTCCTAGTGTGAGAGCACTTAAAGTGCAAAGAAAATAGAGGCAATCAGTTTGTCTGCTGTAGCCTACATGATTCAGATGTACACAAATTTTGGATTTCCATCAGAAGTAAGTATTAGTAATGTCTAGTTTAAATCAGATCACAAGCTCCCAGTATATCAATGGATGTGAACAGTTGAGATGAGAGAGAAAGTGAGAAAGTGAGAAACTCTTGACTCTAGACGACTCATGACGACTGCTTCGGTTCTGTATATTTTAGTACCTCATGTCCTCCTGTTGAGCCTCTGTTTCAGGTAAGGTGACCTTAGGAAGGACTCGTCTGTCAAGGCCAACTATGGAGAACCTAATACATTATCTACAGGGGGACACCAACTATGGATGGCCTAAAGCAGCAAAGTAGCAGGGAGATAGATGGATGGCATGATGTTTGCATTGTACCACCTGGACTGTTTGTGGCTGGCTACTTTAACAGGAAACTGTTCCATTCCATCCAGTTTGAAGCCATCAGTGTCCACCAGGGTCACTTTCTGGATGTCCACATGGGTCACCCTGGCTTTGTGCATGATGCCAAGGTCATCAGGTGCAGCCCCATCTATGTGCACCATTGACAGAGGGTATCCCTGCCTGGCTCAACCCATCTGCCTGCAGTGTCTGTTCCAAATGACCAGATTCCTGGTCCAGGTTATTGTTAACCTGTTTTTTTTAACCTTTACCCAGGGAGATGATTGATTTTCCTTATTTCAATTTCAACGTTAACCAACCCTGGTGAATACAACAATACTAAGTAAAGCTGCTTTACATTGCAGTGGTTGTCTCCTTCATTGTCACGAACCCTTTTAAATCAACAATGCTGCCAAGATAAAAAAGTTGCTTTAAAATAGCTATGACTTATTTTTCGCCCTTCAGCTATAAACATTAAGTCCTATGGTGTCTGTGTAATCCCCTCTCATTCACCTTCCATACAAGATGTAGTTCGTCTTCATTGCATCAGGTGGTGTGAGCAGCCTAACTCTTTAGCATAAATATTTACATGGTAGCCTAATTATTGTATTGCTAATAATTGATACTTTGATTAGGACAAAGTGGTCTGTGGCATGAAGCCACCTTCAGATCACTTCTAGTGATTCAAGATTGGGAGCGACATTTTCTCAATGCAAGCATCCGACCACACTACTGTCCCTGTTGGTATGATGTCTACAACTCCTCACGTTATTTCATCACTGTGTCATCACTGTCTTTCTGTTCTATTCACAAACCATCAGAAAACAAATGCTACAAAATAATCATAGAAGAAACATTGAAACTCTTTTTTATTTTGCAAAAGACTCTGGATTAAATTAGATTAGATTCAACTTTATTGTCATTATGCAGACTACAGGAGCAGAGCTAATGAAATGCAGCCTAGAAGCTAAATTCTCTTTTTTGCCGTTCACAGTCAACACAGCATAAATGGAAAAACAAATGAATTGCCCATAAACATAATTTTGAGAGGGGGTTACATGTTTGATATTTCTTTCCGTAATTTGCTGCTGCAAACTCATTTCCCTACGCAGATGTTTAAAGTTTCATCTGATCTGAAAGTGTCAGTCTCTCCTCTCACCTGCTCATTTTCCTTCCCTTTTTTTCAACCATTCAATCCATCAATCCAACTATCTAGTGTTTTTTATCTCTGTCTTTAATGGCTTTATCACCTTCTCTGTCTCCTTCTACATCTCTTGTCCCTTCATTCGTTTCTTTTCTCTGTCACTCTTCTCTTTCTACTGTTTTCTCTCTGTGTAATCATTCCAGCATCCACCTCCTCTCATCAGTCCACCTCCTCACTTCTCTCCTTCGAACTCCCCACCTACTCCTCTCCCCTTTTAATCACTCCATCCCATCCTCCTGCTCCTCTTCCTCTCTCCGTTGCCAGGGGAACAGCAATCCATTCTGTGGCTGTTAATCTGGTGACATTGTCTTTCTATTACCTGTGGGTCAGATGCCTGATAAGGAGGACAAACGGTGGGAAACAAAAGAGTGACTCACTTAATATGTTCGTAAAATGTTGGTCTTCATTAACATAAGTGAATTCTGCAGCAACAGAACAGCCTGCAGGGAACATCACTCTGGAAAGATACTCTGGTGTGCCAGTATGGTCGCAAATGGGGAAATAACTGCCCAGTCAAAGGTGAGTATGCAAATGATCCCTGAAATGCATAAATAAATACAGAGAGCTGTGACAGCTTTTTGTATTTGTGTGTGTTCACATGCTGAGAAAGTGATCTTTTTTTGTCCTGAACAGTCTCTAAGGCAACTTCTGCGTGCCTAAGTGGACAGCTGCTTATGTTTCAATAAAAAGAAAGTTGGAAACAGGAACTTTTTTTTCCACATACCTGGAGAAGAATGTTTGCCAATTTGGCATTTCACCAGCAGTGTTGGGCAAGTTACTCAGACATTGTAATAAGTTACTAGTTACTCATTACTCCTTAAAAAGTACTAATATTACTTTACTTATTACTGGGTGATAAAAAGTAACTAGTTACGTTACTCATTAGGTTACTAAATTACTTTCACATAATAATAATAATAATAAATTGAGTTACTAAACGAATCAGCCACCTGTTTACTGGCTAACACTTATTATTTACTCACCATTCTCTATTTCAGTGCTGTTCATACTGTTATATTGTCATATTGTAGATACTGTATACCAATCCACCTACCTCAAGTCATAACTCCTGCACAAATTACTTATACTTATTTATTCCAGCGTCCTTTGTACTCTGCTCACTGCACCATTTGTCAACATGTCTATATTGTTTTTGTTCATAGTGTTTATATTTGTGTTGTCTACACTGAAGTCTGTGTCTGATTTTATCTTATTTTTATTATTGTGATTTTGTATTTTTGTGTGAGTAAGCACATCGTGAGCAATGTACAATCCAGAGTCAAATTCCTCGTATATGTACACATACCTGGCAATAAAAGCTGATTCTGATTCATAATCTGAAATTGGTTTATGGGAGCGCGACACACTGATAGGACGTTACCTTATAGACTTTATACTTTAGGACAAAGAAAATCACAGAGTCCGTTGTCTTGTAAGCAAACTGCACAGGCCAGCAGCTGGCAGGGACGCCTATTGGGTCACATCATCCCTAAAAACCTACTGAAACACTATATTTATAATATATGTCATAAAATAGCTCTCGGCTATGGAAACTCTTTTCAGTGAGTTGTTGGGATCAAGTTGTCTAGAAGATGTAGCTACCTACTAAAACAAACAGCTGCAGAGGGGTGTCACTCTGTCAGTTTATGATTTGAGCATAGCCCTGAAGATCAGTTCTGGTCCACTGGTTTAAAAACAAAAGTGGTGCAGCTGTTGAGAAACTGTTAGCATTAACAGCATACTTCTTCACTAACGAATGGGAGTTTTGCAACAGTGAATTTCCTGCCAGAGAATTTTTTTTCTGCTAACACTTATTATTTAGTCACCATTCTCTATTTCAGTGCTGTTGTTATATTGTCATACTGTCCTATGTATAGTGATGTTTAACCAATATTTCCTTGTTTGATACCCTACCGTTGCCTCATCTCCAAACACTGCCTGATTCCTCCCTTCAGTCCTTCCCCTCGCATCCTCTCGAAAGTTTTCTCTCCCTCCTTCTGCTTTTCTTTTTCTTTATCCCTTTCCCTCACATTTTTGTTTCTCTCCTGAATATTTTCACATTCTCTAACTGTTTATTTCCTTTGATCTCTCTCTCTCTCTCCCTCATCAGTAATATCTCTTCACTCTTTTTTTTCTCCTCCAATTTTTCGTTTTACATTTTTTGGACTTCATTTCCTCCCCTCATCTGTGTCTGCCTCCCTCATTACCTCATTTGTCTCAACCCTTCCCTCTTGCTTTTCCTTTCATCCTCCCCAGTTCACCTCTGCTTTCCTTTAGTTTTTTAGTTACCTCTCCTTCTCTTTCCAGCCTTTCATTCTTCTTTTCTTCCTCTCTATTCTACCAATTATTTTTTCATATTTCTCTTTGCCTTTATGCCTCACTGCCTCCCGCTCTCTCTCTCTCTCTCTCTTTTTCTCTGTAGAAATCAATGGTCGTTCTCTCAATAGCAGGTCACGGGGGTTGCAGGCGCTGGCGCTCCGGCTTTTCAATTACTAGCAGCCTGCAGTCACCACAAGACACACACAAATACACACACCTTTCGACCTGAACGGCCCTTCCCCCACTGAACTGGCAATCCACAGACAGAGCGAATAGAGGAAAAAGAAAGGATTTTAAAAAGAGAGAGAGAGAGAACTGTTTGGATGTTGAAAAGAGAGGAAAGGAGAGGGTGGCACAGATGTCTCCGTAGCAGGGATGCCCCATTTGCTAAAATCATCTGTGGAGAAATCGAACCTCATTTTGTTTGTCAAATCACTGCACTTTATTTTTTGCCTCGTTGTTGCACACAGAGTAATTCATGATAACAGCATGGCAGGCTATAACCTTTTACAAAGCGAGTATCAAAATCACAGCAGAGCAGTGACAGTCTCCTCCACTGATGTCCCATGTAAATATAAATGTAAATGTAAAGCCTGAGACTTGATATGTCTGTTTTAGGAGTTAAGTGTGGGGTGGATACTCTGCAGATGATCTATAGTGTAACTGAAAAAGAAAAGAGAAGGAGGAGGTGTCGAGAGGAGGTCTGAGAAAATGTGGGGAAAGGAAGGAGGTAAAAAGAGATGATAGGGAAGAATGTCAAGGAGAAAAGAAGAGAAAGAGACAGGAGGAAGTCAGAGGAAATAAGAGAGGAGAGAGGAAACAAGGACCGCACAGATGATGAGACAAGAGGAGACGAGACAAGGGGACAGCGAGAGAGGAGATGACAAGAGATCTGAGAGTTGAGGAGACAAAAAGAGGAGAGGTAAGAGAAGACAGAATATCTTGGGGGGGGGGGGGAGTAAACATTGGAAGAAGAGAGATTAGGAAAAAGAGGAAAGAGCTTGACAGAAAACGAGAGGAATGGGAAGAGAAAGGTGGTCAGGGAGGTGGATGGGGAAAGAGAAGGTGAGGAGAAAAAAGAAGAAAATACAATGAAGGGAGAGATTGTAGCTGGCTCAGATGTTTGGGGGGGGGAGGCACCCAGCCCGGTGCCCTCAGGGGTTATTGGGTCATGGACAGCCAATCTCTCTCAGCTTAATCAACAGCAGCAGAGGTGATTGCAACACCGCAGGGGACTGCTGGGAGAAAAAAAAGATGGAGGGGAGGAGGAGGAGAGGCGGAGGGGGAGAGAACAAGATAGGGATGAATGGGAAGGTGTGGAGGAAAGAGGGGACGGAGTTAGAGGATGAGGAAAAGATTGGAAAAGGAGGACAAATTGGGGTGAGGACAGAGAGAGGGAGAGGTGGTGGAAAGGGGGAGGAAAGAAGATTGAAAGAGGGAGAAATCGCAGAGAGGGGTGAAAGAAGAGGAGAGGTAAAATGAAGAGGTGGAGACAATATGGGACAAAAGGAGGGGAAAAAAGGGTGAAGCAAGAAAGGAGATAAGAGTTGTGAGTCAGGGTAAGTTAAGCGATCACTTAAATTATGAACATGCATGTACCAAACTCGGGGGCCAGGGATCAAACCACCGACCTTCTGATAAGTGGACAACCGCCCTGAACCCAAGCCCAGAAAATCTACCGGTTTAGCTAACTTCAGCAGATATCTCTGCAACATATTACATAGGCCTAGACTTCTCTCAACTGTAACTTCGTCACATTCTGTTGGTAATAGTTAATTTTGTTTTAATGTTGTTTGTTTTAATTGGTTTAATGTGAGACACCACTGTCCAAAATGATTTTGGACAATGATTTTGCTTCTTTGCTTCTATAACTTTTAGATTTCAGTTACTTTGCAAGTATTGCTACCATACTTTACATAAAATAACAATCTTATATATAAACATTATAATTTGTCTATTTTATACCAAGGTCGTCAACTGCAGATGGAGTAAATTTCAACTGGCCTGTCCATATTAAATCATGTATCATTTGAAAGCTTGTTTGCAAGAGCACAATTTTAGTCCATATATCAGATATTTATAATAGATGTGTTCATGTGACAGTCATTTTTATAGTATTTTTATTTTTAAGTGAGTTTCTACTGCGTTAGTCTGATCTGTGTGATATGCAAATCAGCATTTATTTAATGAGAAAATACCTAATTTGCATATTCTATTTATGTATACTTTCATCTTGTAAAGATTCATTGTGATATGAGTAAAGTTGGTTAAAAAAAAAAAAAAAAAAAAAAAAAAAAAAAACTATTTCACTGTGGTATCTGGCCTTAAACTAAAATTCTGACCCACATCTGACCTTTTTAACTATAGTTTATGTATGTTGGCAGTGAATGTTAAAAATTTGTTGTTAATAAACATAACATTTTATGTTCAACATTCTATCTAGGGAAAGGATCGATGTAAAAATTCAGGCTCCAGCACTCCAAATTTCTTAATTTTGAGGCAAGCTATCTCCAAAGCTTGGCCATCAGTGGATATATCTCAAAGAGCTATCCATGTCCACCATTTTGGAATGACGACAAAAAAAAATGTAATCACATTACTCCCATAATTATCAGCTTCCATCCAAGAAAGCCCAAATCTGCAGTGTGTCGGGGACGTACCTGAAGAAACCACACGACACTAACCCCGGTCACCAGTTGTTGTTTTTTTTATTGTATTTTATTTTGAAGGAAGACTCGTTATGTGTTCTCGCACTGTTAATACCATGTCTCCTAAATATAGCCTATATTTAATAAAAAGTTCAAACAGTGGAGACAGATGGTTTTGTGTGGTCTGGAACACATAAAAAACAAACATAAATAAAAATCAAACAGCAAAACAAAAGTATGCAGGAGCTGCAACAAAGCAGTGTTATATGTACAACAAAAACTCTGCGCAATGCATTTTCAGCTAAACACACAGCAACATTCTTAAAAACAGACCTGTCAAAACACAGAGGATAATAAATAAATCATAAAACATGATGGTGGAGGAAAAACCCACCCATCACAGACATTAGCATGTCTTCCTGCTGTGACTTAAACAGTTTGCCATTTTGCACAAATAGGACTTTTTCTAAGTGACAGTTGTAGTGAAGTGACAGTTTGGCTTTTAGATTAACTTTTTTTCTTACAGACACTGATTTGCAGTTTGAAGGTATCACATAATGAGATTAGCTTAGCTCTATTGCATAATGTCGGCGGGATCATCTTGCAGCTCAGCACAATTACAGAAATCCTCCTTTAAGCTGAGCTACCACTTGAACACCCTGACAGCAAGTAATTGAGCTAAGCTATGTCAGTGTCACCATTTAACATACCTTCAGTTAGTATGTAGCGACACAAAACAAGACTCCTTGAGCTTGTCTAACTTTAGGTCTTTAAGGAAGTGTTCCTCAAAATCAAAACCATCCCGTTCAAACCTGTGGAAGAGCAGTGAAAGCATAACGTAACGTCGTCTGTATGGAATGAGAATATGTGTTGTAAAGTGCTTTGCTGTATGTATGACACAGTGGAAGCAAGAATGTACCAACTAAAACAACTGTACAATTCAGGCAAGCGTCGTTGGCAGTTGCCAATGGTTACAACGTGTCGCAACGTTCAAAGAGTGAGGTAAAAGTAAAATTTAAAGAATAAGAGATATTACAGGTCTGATGGTCCAACTTTCCTGTTTTTAAAAAAAATAACTTAAAGCTTAATGTTAAAGTCAGTGCCCATCTTGTACTAATCATCCTGTATGTTCTGTCACATCATCGTCAGTATAGCTGCACTTAAACAAGTTAGTGAGCTAGAGAGCTAACTAGCTAGTGAGCCCTTTAATGCGCAAGTTAGTTAGTTACCTAGCAAGCGAGCTGTAAAGCTGTATTTGCACTACATCAGCAGAATTGGAGACAGGAAAACCTTTCAATACTCTGACGAAGTGGTATTATTCCAAAATGGTTACCCCCATTGTCGAAACGTGCCATTTAGCTCGCCCTTTATCTAGTTAGCTCACTGTCCGTAGATTAGGTCGCGAGCTAAAGTTGTACAGTTCAGAGTTAATTCACGGCAGTTTGGAATATAAAACACCTCAGTAAGGAGCTCTTTTTCTGGATTTCAACACAGGGAGAGAGCCGTCGATGGCCCAGATCACAGCAGGAAGATGTAAATTCAGATTTCAGGGTGGATTTTTCACATCAGCATTTTGGTTCACACACACGTAAAAAAGAACATAAAGCAAAAGTCCAGTATTTCTAGTTAGCCAGTGTAAAAGGCACATTATCATGGCATAACATGACTAAAACATTAAGAGCGGGAACAGGGGCAGAGGTCAAAGGTCAAGTTACAACCCATAAAAAGTGTTTTATTTTGACATTTACTCATTATTAGGTAGTCTCATCCCGAGCAAATGGGACAGCAGAGGGGATCAAACATCCGACCTTCAAGACATTTTTGGAGCTGTAGCACTTGACGGCGAAACAAGAAATTGCACTGTGATCGGGGAGGTGTGAATGGACGAAAACAAAACTGCACTGAGGCAGACAGAAGTCGCAGTCAGTCAACCTTAAAACTAAAGTCTAATCCACTCGACGTCTGTCATTTCTCAGCCACTTTTTTTTTTTTTAAGAACATATACTGCATCTTGCTATTGAAGGACAATGCCAGCATCTTTTTTTCTTGCAGTCCCTCAAAAGTGACTTTATTTTTCAGCTCTTGTCACACCAACAAGGATGTGACATGAATTAAAAGAAAAAGCATTTTGTCGTATTGCCTCAAACTGAAACGGTTAGGCCTATACAGTGTTCTCACAGTAATAGAAAAGGCCTGCGCTAATGTTACAAAATCAATTCCGATAATCATAAATTAAAGTAGTAGATCAATAGTATTGGTGATCAAAAGTAATATCTGCACAGAATTAGCTCAGAGGGCTTAATGATTTAATAAGTAGTTTGGATGAGCGAGTACATTATCCGGATTCGTATTCGCACTCAGAATGGGCGGGGCTTAAAATGGATGTGGGTGGAACTAACCAGAATTTGTTCATTTAAACATGAATTAGATATTAGTTGATTACTATACTTATTATGAAACTAGCTACAGAACAACCTCAAAATTAAATAGTAAAGATAACTACTTACAGATCTTTTTTAAAATAAAAGTTAGTATTTTTATTAGAAAATGGATATTGACACATTTTACTCTGATGATACTCGTAAAAAGTACATTATCTGTACTGTGAACTCATTTCAGCCAAGTGAGTACTCGCTCAACCCCAGTAATGAGAGAGGGTTCAGAGGAAACTACAGATCAGTTTTGAACTTTTTCCAACAGCATCAGTTGACTGACATCTGAGACAATGTGGCAACTTCCATGGAGAAGGTCACACTGTACAGCCTCTGAACACTGATACAAAACTGAGTTGTCCCTTCCACATAGCATTAGCTATCAACCATTAGCACTGTCCTTTTCAACATTTGAAAGGACCCACTGTACTGTTTAGTTTGTGTTCTACTGGGAAAGCGATGTCACTGGCAGACCCTGCACAGTCAGCGCTGCGTTCCTTATAGAAAGGTGCGGGTCTAGCTAGTGTTTGCCGTCTTGTCATGGGCCAAGATGTGGTGATAGAAAATAAACAAAAACAGACATCAGTTTTTCACAGGATTGTAAGATGCTACATAAAGCTGATGAGTAAGCATCAGACCTAAAATTATGTTGTTACACTTTTTTTTTTTTTTTTTACTTCACTGCAGAGTTGCAGACCGCCAGAATACTTTTATAACCAGTAGCATTTGTTCCCATTTGCTTTTCCATCAAGGACACACTAATGGACTGAATTCACTTCTGTAAAAATTACAAAACTTATGTGCTTATCTTACGGCAAAAAAATAACTCAGTAGGTTTTAACTCAGCTACCTGTTTTTTGTGCGTCCCGCAACTACCTCACAAGGTGCATATGTAAAGATGCAACAGCTCAATTTTCCCTTTTCAGATCTGATTTTGTTGATTGACTGTAATTTTAATATATATTTATTTATTATATTTAAATGTGGCCCATATCAAACTCCAGTGTGACCTGGCCACGGCTTGGAAGTGACATGCAAGCACAAAACAATAATATGCCGTCATGTGTAGCATACTATAGTCTGGAAGTAAACATGGATGCCACAGAGGTCATCATATACTTGCCAAACCTGCAGACTTTCATTGAATACTCTCATTTTTCATGGCCCTCTCCTAGTTTCCTCCCAGGGTCACAATTCTCCTGGTTTATAACAAATGTTTTGTAATTGCATTCATTACACTTGTATTATACACAGTGCGAATACACCTACTGTTTCCGCATGCACGTGACACACTGAATTGTGGCAAAAGTCGCTCTATAGTGACGTCAGAGTTGCATGAATTCTGATCTGACTGTCCAGACTGAGGTCGCATTTCAAAAACTCCTACCTGTATCTGATTTGGACCATCACATGAAAGTGGACCAAATCCAAACTGGAAAAGATCAGCTTCAATTTGACTTGGGTTGTTCACACAAAAAATATCAGATCACATATGGTCAAAGATCAGATTTGGGTCACTTTGGCGTGCAGTGTGAACGCAGCCAAAAGCTACATCTCTTAAAACCCTCAAGTCGCAGCGCAATTCCTTCCTATATCGCACTGGTATTCACCAATCAGGCAGCAGCGTGACAAGCACCAACCAACTCCAATCACATAAAGACTGCGGCAGGATGGATGGGGTTGCTGACGTGTGTTTGTCAATGGCATGAAGTGACGGGTGAGGAGGCGGGGGAGAGATCCAGCCAACCAACCAGGTCGTCATGGCCGACTGTTATTCATTTAGCACCAGCAGAAAGAGAAACAGGGTCTCTGATGGTGAATTGGACGTAAGCAAATAATCCCCCTACCCAAAAAAAACCAAAGGCTTTTTCCCCTGTAGCTTTGATGTGATCAATTTCTGCAGAGTGGCAGTTCTTTTATCTGCACCGACTTTTGCCAAAAAATCCTAACATGGGCACTTGTTTTTCTGTACCGAATCAAGTTTATTCAGGTAATCTGAGATTAGTGCTAAGCGGAGATGTTATTTCCAGCAAGTCAATTTTAAATTTGATTAGCATTTTATTAATACTTTTTTTTTTTTACATGTGTGGACTTATATATTATATGAAACAGCTATTCAATATTCTTATTCTGTCAACTTGTGGAATCTGATCCATTTAAAAGAACAAAACCACACACATTTATTGTTTGTGTTACCAAAAGCCCAATATAGCCCATTCCCCCATTTACATAATGCAAATTTGTGATTGAGTGTCTCACATTTTCTGCCTGGAAGTTACTTTCCCATAGAGTAATGTACTTGCTGTGGTTAAACTGTAATAACAGACACTCTTGCTGGAGAGACGGAGTGAGTGTGTGCGTTTGTGAATCTTCTGCTTATAGAAGAAGGCCTTAACTTTCTTCACAGGTAGCTCTGCTGCAGGAAGGGCACCATAGTGTGTGTGTGATTCTATGAAAGTGTCTGGCTGGCGAAGAAGGCCTTGGTCTCTCCGCAGGTGGGGTTGGTGCACAGCGGGCAGCGGAGGGTCAGCTGGCGGGAACAGGGCTGGTTGGACTTCAGGTGGGACTGGACCAGGTCTGCCAGAGCCTGGAAGAACAACATATATATTCAGAGAGAGAGATAATGAGAGACTCTCACTTCAGCTCTGTGAAAAACTGGTTGTGCGTTTCTGTCCATTACAAATTTATCACCTTGCCCCAGCTCTATTACTAATTGGATTGTTCACTTGTTCAATTGTAGTTAGCCTCACTAAAATAATGGCTGAGTGGCGGTCTGTTAATAAGATGTTGTTTTAGATTTTAGTTTGACTTGCACCACTGTACTGTGTACCGTTGAAAAAGCTTATTAGGAGTCAGCCATTCATTTTTTTCCAGTAAGCACATTTTGTTTTAAGTCTTTTTGGTAAAAATTAAGATGGTGACGGCCAAAATGCCAAACTCAAGGCTTCTAAACGGTAGTCTACAAACCAATGGATTACGTCATGGTGACTACGTCCCCTTTTATAGTCTGTGGAGTAAACTATATAGCTTTCAAACTTAAAAGCTTTAAAGGAGACCTATTATACTGCATTTCTAGTCCTATATTGATTCAAAGTTCAAAAAAAAAAAAAACTCTGTCTTATACTGGCCCTTCACGGAGGCCTTCATTTCAGCCTCTGTCTGAATAAGCTGTAGATGCTCCTGTCTCTTTAAGGCCCCTCCTCTCAAAGCCCATTTTCTTCTGATTGGCCAAGACCTGAAGCATGTTACCAGGCTGTTGTTGTCGCCGAGCGGTACAGACAGATGTTGCTGTGCGGAGCAAATGACCATATATGGAATACCGGCTCCGTGTAGCTCCGTGTGTCGTAGAACAGAGCAGTTATTAAAAAAAGCAGTTGAAAACAGAGCGTTCAGAACAGGAGGAAATCTGAGGTTTTGGCTCACAGGGATTTCTTTTAAATACTTTTACTTCATTATTTGAAGCTTTGGCCATGTTTAACATGAACATCCAACATTATAACATTGCGGACAAGTCATAAAATATGGAAAAGCATAATAGGTCTCCTTTGAAAGCCTTCCACTGTCTCAAGGGGCATAACCCCTCAGTTTCCTGCTAGACTTTTAATTTGAAATATCTGTGGTAAGTGTTTCATTCACAGAAATGTAACAGTGCTCTGCTAAGGTAAAGCAACTGGAAATAAGAAAATTGTAATAAAAATTGTACTAGTGTTAAAGGAATAGTTTGACATTTTGAAAAATATACTCATTTGCTTTCATGCCAAGACTTAGATGAGAAATACCCATCTCATGTTAGACAATTAGTTTCGCTCGCCTGGCTCTTTCCAGTGACATCCTGGAGGTCACTTCGCCAGCCAAAAAAAAAAAAAAAAAAAAAAAAAAAAACACACACACAACAGCTCTGCATATACTGTAACTCCTCATAAAACCTAAATTTGTAAATGTTACAGGTTTTGTTCAGATTAAACAAATGTGAGCTTTAGAGGTACTGGTTACTATTGGACAGAGGTAGCCGTTTCCCTGTTTCCAGTCTTTATGCTAAGCAGCTGCTGGCTGTAGCTTCATATGTACCTACAGATTTATTGCCAGGTATGTGTACACATGGATACGCACATTAAACTGAATTTAATTTTGTAAGCTATATTAGAGTCGTGTTTTCACCTGCCCTTTATTAGAGTCTGACATGTATTTTTTTGTGCTGATCATGGCTGTTATTTTATTACAACTTTATTTGAGACAAGATGAGGCAAATGAAAGATCTGAGAGAATCAAATTTGTAATTCAAGAGCGACATAAATTAATAGTAATTTGAGAGAGGGTTTATTAAAAAATGAACCCCCAACAACAGCCAGGCTCTGCAGGAAAAATTCTGAACGTATTTTTCTTTATTTTCCATGGACAGGAGACTGATGCAGCTCACTGAGAAACTAAAACTACACCAAGGAAACCACCCTTCAGTAAGTACCAACTAATCATCCTCTGGATATTGATTCACAGAGACACACACACACACTCTCTCTCTCTCTCTCTCTCTCCCCCCTCTCCCAGAGACTTGGTGAGGGGTCTCTGAGCATGGAGGGTTTGACCAGCCAGCCAGCCTGGTGGTTCAGTTCTACTGTAGTCAGCTCTAAAGGTTCCCATTGATCTGCCCCCTTCCTTTAATAAACCACACACACACACACACACACACACCTAGAGGAGTTGCCTGTTGTGAGAAAGGTTGCAGGGTTGGGGACGAGGAGACGAGGGGAAGCAGGGAGGCAGGGTGGGAAAGGAAGGAGGGATTAAAGGAAGGAGACGAGTGAGAGAGGGAGAAGGAAGGAAGGAGTCCATTTATTGACTATCTCATGCCTGGACCCATTTCACAGAACCTTCTGCTGCTGTCTCCTTTTCTATTATTAGAGCCCTGCCTGACCTCCTGCAGCCTCCCCTCCTTTATCATTTGTTCCCTCTTTCAATCCTATATGTATTGCTCATTATTTGCTTTTCTTTTTGTGTCTTTTACCATCACCCCTTACTTTCATATTTCACTCCTCTATATCTTCCTCTCTTTAAGCTCAAAGTCTGTTCTTGTTCGTAAATTACAGACATGCTCCTTAATCAAAACTTAAGAGGATTTCAATTATTTGATAGTTACCTACTGTATACATGCATACATACCATACATACGTCAGTCTGTATAATGTTTGTAGACATGAGCCGGCTCGGCGCATGTGTAACGTACCTTCATAAAGAGAGGGTTCCCATTCAACGACTCAGCTCTCCTGATGTTCTCCACCCCACACTGAGGACAGAAAGGAAAAAAAGACAGAAAACGCTGCTACTCATGTTTATACTACTGAACCAAATTTGTGAGCACAACACAACTCAAACAGGTTACACTGGCGACAGCTTCAATCCATACCGGGGAGAAGAACCCCCCCCAACAAATGAACATGTGGGGAAAAGCGGTTTTCATTTTGTCAGTTAAGGACTTTGTTATGAGTTTCCAATTATTTTGAACAGCAGGTTCATTTAAGAGGGAAATTCCTCTTGACTGTGGACACACTGAAGGGGTCCAGACAGCGCGCGTGTGTGTGTGTGTGTGTGTGTGTGTGTGTGTGTGTGTGTGTGTGTGTGTGTGTGTGTGTGTGTGTGTGTGTGTGGTGTGTGTGTGTGGTGTGTGTGTGTGGTCTGACACTTTATCTTTGTGAGGCCAATGAGGACATGCTGGGAATGTCAGGAATTTTTTTTGGTAAAGGCTTGAAAATTAATTATTAATTATGTCAGGCTGCTCACAAATATAGAAGTACAAATAGGGGTGTGTGTGTGTGTGTGAGTGTGTGTGTGTGTGTGAGTGTGTGTCTTTGTGGCACCAGTCACATTGATTGGTGGTCACCTGGTGCCTTTACACTGGCAGCTGACAAACACACACACTTGAGCTAACCTAAACTCTGCATCATGTCCAAAGTTAAACCATCATTACTTGATCCCAATTAGGTCTGACCCCGAATAGTCAAAGATTCAATGCCTCGATGGGCGGAGCCTGATTCGACCGTCAATCTCACAGTCGAAGCTTCGCAGCCAAACAAGGATCATGCCATTTTGGCTATATGGGAGTGCTCAAGGTCTGATTTTACATAGAACTACCAGTTTTCTCCAAATTGATATACAGCCTATTACTATATCGATGTCAACATATAATGCTGTAAATAAAAATGTGAAAAGAAAAAAAAGATTTTAATAAATGTTTTTAAAGTGCGTGAATAAATCCAAAATTGTAACCCTAACCCTCAAGGTAGGGAGCATTAGTGCGCATGTGTAGGCGTAGCGTGTATGTGTGTGGAGGCAGAAGAGAAACACTTAAACGCTGTTGTGCTGAGTTGTCCGCACCTCGCGGGACGTTCGGATCATTTATCACCACTGATGAACCACGCAAAGCATATTATATCGTTTTTAAATAGTAGGCTACTTGAAATAGACGTGCGAGGAACCGTGACGTGCATGCAGTTGTCGGCCGCACGGCATGAAATGAACAGTATGTAAATTCTTAGTCGGGGACAGCCCTAATTCCCAATATAAACTAACACAGAGCAGGACTGGTTGATTTCTGACTAGTCTCCTTCCTTCTTGTTATTGGTTTTAGCCTCCAACATGCAGAGACTTGGAAGTTGCTGCAGATGGGTAATCCACCATGGTCAGTGTTTAGTCAACTTTATTTTTTGGTCAATAATACATCATCATCATGTGGTAACTAAAGACTATTTTCAAAACTCTCCCTGTTGGTGCATTCAATGTCGCTCTAATGTCTTGAGTTTTAAGTGTCGGCTGCTGAACAGCAACATACATTTTGCTGATTGTTTAGTCTTTCCTCATTTTTAAATGACTCACCCCTTTTACTCTTGGCTGTTCTTTGGATTATTGTTGAGCTACTCTGAAAATCAAAACGTCCTACACGTATATTTCACCATGTTTCCCATTTCAACGCTTCCTGCAGCTCATTTGTCCGCCTACTAGTCGAATAACCGATTTTATTTCAGAATTTAAGGCATCTCACATTTACAATATGGTGGACTGAAACTAATACCTACTAGGAAAGAAATCATCTAAATCTAAATGGACGAATAATTTGAACAATTAAAAAATAAACTATCTATAACCACCATGGTCCTTTACCCAACAGTCTTCTATCTGGAACATTAAAGAAAATATTCAGCCTCTCCTTACGTAGAGACTGTAAGGTGATGCTCTGCATGTTAAATTGTGCTGATACAACTGCTTGGAGCTGCTGGGAAAGCGAACGTGGAGTTTTTCCCTCTTCCTTACCTCCTCCCCCAGTACCTGTCCATACTCAATGTCGAGCTCGTGTAAAGTCTCTATGTGGTCAGAGGTGAAGGCGATGGGCACCATCAGGATGTTCTTCTTCCCTCGTTCACACAGGCCTTTGATCACATCGTCCGTCTGGGGGCCAAGCCACGGCATGGGCCCCACCTGAATGACCAAACACAAGACAACAGTTTAGTTCCCGCTGCAGTGTTACAGGTGTACAGACATATATATATTACACATATTGAGGCTGTAATGAACACTGTGGCTGCTAGGGAGGTACTAGCAGGACTTTTACATTGCATACCAATCCAAAAATTGCAAGAATCTTGCAAGTACATGAACTTCATCAGATATGCTGAACTGCTTCAAGCGCTACATTTAGAAACAGTAGGATTTTTCATAAAATGGGCCAAGGTGCAGTCTGAGTTTTTGGTCTGCGACGGACGATGTGTAGAGTTTGCTGTGTCCCGCTATCAATGGCGAGCTCATTCCGCCATTGTGGAGCCAGGACTACAAACAGTGGTGATTCTTTCACACCCAGGTTCCCTGCAGTCTGAACAGGGACACCACAGAGTTCTCTATGATAATGGAGAGATCAGGGACAGGGAGGTGCCTTCCCTGGAAAGCTGATGTGTTCACTTTGTTAAGTGTCAGCCGCAGTGACCTGAGGAGTAAGAGTTGTGAGGTCCTGCTCTTATGTAGCTGCAGTAACAGACAGACAAGTGGCTCCATCTTGTGGCGACCAAAAATAAATAAATGAAGCATTCTGTGATCGCAGCATTGAACTACACTGACATAGGAACCTGTCCAGTGGACAGGATGTGTGCATAAGAAACTGTTTGCTAACAAGTTTGAAAATTAAGTTCAAGGGTGATATGTCAACATGTTTCTGATAATCAGTTACTGCAGGTTTAAATGTAGTTTATGTAAATCCATAAGTACTGATAAGTATTCTAATTGGTACCCAATTTATACAATTAAATTACACTGTAAATCGCAGGCTGTATTGTAAGGTGTGACCAAAAATGAATGACTAGCATTAATACTCACATGACTTCCAAAGGGACTGTTACAGTTCTGCTGGTTGTCTGCATCACTACTGTTTACTCATGTCAGCAGACAACCACTAGAGGATACCACTGTGTAATACTGACATGATTACAGTACACAGTCAGTCTTTTGTGTGTGTGTGCGCGCGTTAGAGGGTGGCTACCCAACCCAAGCCCAACCCCGTCCCGTCGGAACTTGACGAGCCAGGCCGGTTTCGGACAAATCAGAAATCGGAAAATGGTAACAACAACTGCGTGACAGCCCGAGCCGCACTCGTGTGTGTGTGTGTGTGTGTGTGTGTGTGTGTGTGTGTGTGTGTGTGTGTACTCACCCTGGACTGCCACACCAGTCTGTAAGGGTTACAGTGTCCAAGTCTCTCCATGACTCTCTGAACTGTGGCTCCTACTTCCTGAGGATATGGGTCACCTCGGTTTACAACCTGCACACAGTACACAGCAGTAGCACCATCAGTATGTAGTCATTCAGCACCATGTACCAATACTTAAGTTTGGAGGCCCCCCAAACCTGGTTCTGAGTGGTAAAAACTTGCTAGTGGGGCTGTATATTCTAGTGAATCCCTTCAAATTATTATAAAATTTGGTCCTAATTATTTATTTTTTGTGTAACCAAAAGGAACCAATATGAATATGATGTGCTGAAAAAGCAGCATGAATTAAAGCTGCAAGCAGCGTTGGGCGGGCCCTCGCACTTGTAGAGCGTCCGGGTGTGAGCCGGCCACGTTGCATATTCTGGAGCTCTGCCGGTGCGGCTGTGAATTTGCTGCGCGGTTCCCACGCGGAATGAAGGTGTTATATGTCACTTCCTGTGTCCCCTATGTGGAGCTACATAGCACTTGCCGCTATGAATATAAATCGGTATTGGCGTGTAGATGTCTTCGGGGTGGGAGAGTTATCAAGTATGTAATGTTTTGTTCAGATGTGAGCATGTACACTGAAGTTACAACAACTTCCTGTGTCATGGCGAAGAGTTGATCTTTGACGCCACGCCACAGACACGCCCATTGACGAAAACTCACAGATAGCACAACTTTTCATCTTCAATGCCTTTAGAAGGCACAGCAGAAATTTGAAGTCGGTCAGACTAAATCCCTAGGAGGAGTTCGTTAAAGTATGGAGTGTGTAAATCATCCAAAAATTGCTGCAAAATTCAAAATGGCCGACTTCCTGTTGGGTTTAGGGCATCGCTCCAAGAGGCTTTTTGGTACGTCTAGACATTATACACGTACCACAGAAAATTCGTACATGTAGGTGAAACGTGCGGCGGGGGCTGCTTCGTTAAAGGTCACTTCCTGTTGCCAGCAGGTGGCGCTATGACTGTGGGTGAATGTCGGCATGTAAATGTGTTCAGGGCGGGACTCTCATCCTACATGTACAGTTTGGTCCAGATGTGAGCATTTACACTGAAGTTACGACAACTTCCTGTTTCATGGCGAATCGTCGATGCCTCAGACACGCCCATTGACGAAATGGGTACGGGTTCTTGAGGCTCTTGAGGCCAGGAAACAGATTCCTGAATTTATTTGTCAAAATTTGTGACTGGTGCTGTTGCAACTGCTCCTAGATGTATTAGTAGAATGTTTATCAACAGGGCTATAAGCATCAAACTGTATCATCAGTAACAGCAAATTTACTCTAATCAACAGTAGTACCAGTAGTATCAGCACTAGTACTTCATGGTACTCACAGCCATAGGGAGAGAGTGTGCTGAGAACAGAATGACAACGTCGTCTCTTTTGTCTTCTGGAAACGCCAGCAGCTCGTTACTGATATGTTCTGCAAAACACTGCACACACACACACAATTGTATTTCATACATTTTTTGCCAAAACTATTGGCAAAATATAATTTTCCTCAACTGAATGTTTCTGACTAATCCCTGCATCCCACCACAGAAGCAACATGTTGAAATCTAACAATACAGCCAGGCTTGATAGTTGCTATTACCAACTGTGGCCACTTTTAGCTATTCTATTTTTATTAGTAGCTAGGACGGCTTCTTGCCCTCGTCAATTTATTTTCCAGTATGTGGTTGTTGTTTTATCTCTCTTAAGTGAGTGTAAGTGTGTGTGTGTCTAACCTCCACCAGCAGAGGGTGTGTGGGCCAGCGGTCAATGACACTCCACCTCATTTTTGGCCTGTCGCCTCTGTTGCTGTAGTAACGGTAGATGGCGTTCAGACTGCTGCCTGTTTGCACGACAAACAAAACAAAAATATTAATATTCTAAATATGCTCCGTTAAACAACACCCGCAGTCCTCTGCTGACCCCCGGGCCGCTCTATTGGGAGGATTTGAGGTTGCCTTGCTCAAGGGCACATCTGTTTAAGTTGTCAGAGAGAGATGAATGCATACCGGAAGACAAGACAAGCTGCTCAAAAGGAAGGAGCATCATCTGAGTCAGTGCTTCTTTTCCAAAGATCAGAAATCAGATTGAAAAGAGAAGTAAAGCAAATATATTTGACACATCTACATTTTCCCACCACTTGATGTTGCTGTCTGAATTGATTTAGCCTCGAAGCTTCCTGCATGTTTAGACCTTGGGAACTACAATTGTGAACTGCATTTCCCCTGTGGACAAGCGTGCTCTATTTGATGTCTGAGGTTCCCTTTTGCCCTGAAGAAAAGTTTCGCTTTTTGATTAAAAGGTGATGTTTTTGATGCTTTTAGCGTTGTGATGAACCTGTCAGAAGTTTGCACAACTTCATTCACCCCCTCCTAAAATAAGGCAGACTGCACCTTGTCAACACGGTTATGTCATTTGATATGGCTGTGTAATTTTTCTTGACCTTCATTCTGCCTCTTCTAGTACAAATCTATGGCTGAATCCAAATATCTACCCTCGTGTGCTAGTGTTCGAGTTACAGAGCATCTGTTTCTCTAGATTGGACGATTTGCTCTGCAAGGTTTGAAAGACCCAGAAGGTCGTTTCACAACACATACCGCGGTTCTGAAGGTATTTCCAGAATCCTCATACTTTTTTAACAATGTGATAGAAATTTCTTTTTCTAAGTCGCGACCGTTTCCTAATCCAAACACGGATGGCAGCCAGCGGCAGTCGTTTGGGAAACGGGTTGCAATCTTTCTGTTCATGCAGTGGACATGAAGTATTTTCATCCACATTGTTAGAAAAAGTGAGTGAGGAGATCTTTTAAATCATTTTGAAACTACAGACGTTATGAATGAAGCTTTCGAAGCCTCTAACTATTTGGTACAGTCTACAAATTGCGCAGGTTCTTTGGCTTTCTGCTGATAATGGTTGATATGCACAGTAAAACCTTCCCTTAAATGAGCACTAACTGCTACGGCTAAGTAGCTAATGATAGTTTGCCATCTTCCTACAAAGCTGGCATTCTCCACCTAAAGAAGCTGGGAGAAGTGGGTTAACTGTTGTCGATGAGAAGATGTTAATATACTGTGTGTGTTATCAGAAGGTAACAGGGTGGATAGCACTCTGGGTGTGGTGACACGCCAACAGCAGCAAACTGCCCTTTTATCTTTTTTCACCCAATTAATTCAACGTATGTGATCTTTGGAAAAGGTGTTTTGAACATTTGCATTATTGCTATTGTAAAGCAGCACTATTCTGGATGTTTTATGTTATCCGTTTTTAATCTTGTGTGCTCATTTCTTTAGTTTCCTGCAGGGTGTGAATTCCTGGGGATCCAGGGGGAGCTTAGCTTTCAGCTCCCCTAAAAGCATGATTTGTGATATTTTGGGGGGGGTCTCCAATATACTGACAGCATGCTTTATTGCCAGTAATCTCTAGATTTCTCTATCGTCATGGATCATGCGACGCGTCAGACTTCATCCAGCAAGAGGGAACGATCAGAGACGGGTGGGGGGGTTGTGTTGCTAGTACAACTGACACGCTATCAACGGTTCGCGATCGTTTCCTCTGGCTGGATGAATATCTCGCATGATCAATGCACTACTGCAACTTTCTAAATTCTTCCCTCTCACAGAGAAAATAAAGGTCAGGTCGCAAACACAGCCGCAGCTGCTGTGTGAAGCTTAATTGTAGCAAAATGGTTGCATGTGATAATAATAATAATAATAATAATAATAATAATAATAATAATAATAATAATAGAAGACAAACATGCCTGCTACTTTCACAGTCAGCCCCAGGCCTACATGCTTGCAACTATTAATGATTCAGCAGTAAGAATCACAGTCTGTCCCCTCCCAAAAAAACTGCGCTCCCTCGAAAGCTATGGTATAGTTCTTCCTCTGGTTTCCTGTATCTGTGCTGTTTGTGGCCGGCACCTGTGGTGGAGCAGCTGTACTGAGGATACTGTGTGAAGGCCACAGCTCTCTCCACTCCGTCTTTCTCCATCTCCTCGATGGCTTCCTCCGTCAGCGGGTGAACGTACCGGAAACCAATGTAGAACTTGTGAGGAGCTGAGGAGAGACACAGAGTCACTAAGTGCCATTGACAGAATTACTGTTTGAGTAAAAGTGGCTGTGAATCTGACATTTGCGTATTGATTGAAATGTCTGAGTAATGAAATGAATTCAGTCAGTGACATAAAGACAAGGTATGATGGAGACGTTATTAAAGTGTTAAACTGGTTCTCCTATTCTGAATCCGGTTTGTATACCAGTAGATATGCTCAGTTTTAGTGCTGTTATCAGTGAGGTGTGTTGCAGGCGTGTGAAGAGACACTCCTTCACTGTGTCACTATCTCCACTGCACACACACTTTACTGCTAACAAGCGAGTCCGCCAATATGGAACACAGCAGCCTTGTTTTCTTGTCAACTTTAAAAGCACTGTTTACATGATGACATGTCTTCCCTGATGTCGATAAAATCTCAAGTACCTTCTCTAAAGCAGGACTTTCTAAAGCCTACATACACTTATACTCTCCATTTAAACTGAATGACTTTAGGGGGAGGGAGCGCCCTGACAGGCAGGAGGACCCTCTCAGAGCGGGCTGCCTCACCTGTCTGAGGACTCATCTCATCCAGCAGCTTCACCATGCCCTCCCCTTGCATGGAGGTCCAGTGTTTGATGGGGGAGCCTCCTCCGATCTTACTGTACTGCTCCTGGATCTTTGGCGTGCGGCGCTTGGCGATGAACGGACCGAGTTTACTGCAGTGCAAAGGGCAGATTGAAGAGTGACGACTACAACACCTGACTATAATACAGCACATTAAATCATAGATTGGATTACAATAAATTAATATACACATAAAAATGCCAAAAGCAAAAGACAAATTGACCTGTAAGTGCATTTTTTCTTGGACTGGTGAAAACAAAAGGCTCAGATGTGTTATTCCCCAACGTTTCATAAAAATCAAATATTTGATTTATTTAAACTGTGCAAGATGATGTCTGGGACCCGGATAAGTAGAAGTACACAGCTAAATAAATAGTGTGCGCGTGTCCACAGTGCATACTTTTGTACAGGGAGCTTCATCAGGTCTGTGTCCATGAACAGCCGCAGCAGGAAGTCGTGAACGTCTTCCAGTTTCTCGGGCCCTCCCATGTTCAGCATCAAGATGCCCGTCTTAGGTTTCCTGCAGGCAAAAGAGATTTATAATCAATAATTCATGTCTAACGTTCCCTCAACTCCCAGCAAAAATATGTTGAGCTTATTGATTATTAACAATGGTTAATTAACGGGTCTTGCAATGAAATCTCATTAGCAGATTATTGATCATTATGCTAACATACAAACTGTTTGTAGAATGTAGATATTTCTATAAAGATAGAGTTTATTGATAGTAAAAGGTTTGTGTTAGGATTTAAAATAGTCTTAAAAGGACACCATTTTAAAGTTTTAAAGCTTAACTATAAATGCTCTAAATGTGGTTCTACTGGAAACAGCTAAAGTTTGCTAGTCCCTGTTGAACCCGCTTGTAGCTAAAAGGAAAAGCAGCAGGGTAATGAAAAACAGTACCAGCTGTGACAAAACATTCCTCGTATATACAGGCTAAACAACAAACCTATTTTGAAAAGAGCTAACATAGGGCTTTTACGCTTCAACTGAAAATTCAACTGCTCACATCTCTTTCCCTTTAGGTAACGTCGGTATTTTTCAACCAGAACCCTAAGTTCCCGTGTTTTTGTGTCTATGTGACTAACTGGTCCAGTATTGAGTGAGCTCGCTGCAGGTGGCAGCCCCTATTCTGTCACTCTTCACTGCCTTCACTCAGTGAGGTAGCATCCTCTGGTGCATTTGCTGAAGTTAAAGGTCCGGTGTGTAATATTTAGGAGGGTCTACTGACAGAAACAATTTTTAGTGGTGTATAAATAACTTACATAATGAACCATTATGTTTTTATTACCTAAGAAAGAGCCATTTCCATCTACATCCTGTTTCTACAGTAGCCTACACGGACAAACTGCTCTACAGAGAGCGTTTCATCACTACTTGAATCCGTAAGCAGAAGAAGAAAAAGCACTGACTGGGCAGTTGCTTGCAATTCAGAATCTTCACCACTAGATGCCACTAAAACCTACACACCGAACCTTTAAGCTAGCAGATCAAACAACTCTGAGCAGAGGTCAGGTGCATTTTTCGAATTTGTGTAGGGGCCGTGTTCAAGCTCAAACAGGGTGTTACAGTAACCTGTGGATCTCTTGACAACAGTCAATGGTGTCAAACTCTTCTACTGGTCTACAGGTGGCAGTAATGCGCCAAGAAACACAGCAATGTAGCAGCAGAAGGCCGTGAAGAAGAAGACTGCTTGCTAGTCAACATGGATGTAAACAATGCTGGTTTCAAACATTTCAGAGAAAAGCGTATTTTAAGAGGAGAAAAATTCCTTCAACAGATATATTAGACCTCAATGATACACACAAAAATTTTTTGTGAGTAAAACAGGATGTAAACATGACTTTTGTTTGTTTGCAAGAACACTCCACAGGGCACCTTTAAGTAGCTCTTTAAGTGCCAACCGGAGCCAACAACACTAGACTAGACCAGAGACGCTCAACGATGGCCTGATGACAGCCCAGCAGCCCACAGATGGCTGACAGCTGACTGCTGTCTTGTTGTGGCAGGGTTCTCTGAAGCTGCATTTGACGCAGCAGTAATGCGGCAGTATTTATGGTCGTGCACATCCACTTAGTACTGCCACAGTGTTTTCCCAGACAGTTTTGCGTATCTCACCTGTTTTCCTGTGTTTCTGGAGATGCAGTCTGGGCTAAAGCAGCAGCAGTGGAGCGTCTCCTTACACTCAGACTGACGGTGTTCCTGGCAACTAAAGAAGCAGAAGAAAATAAAAAACAGTCACCATTTTGGTCCAGGCTGAAATATCTCAACAACTACTGGGTGGACTGCCAAGAAATTTTGTACAGCCCTTCGTGATCCCCTGATTTATCATCTCACACCAGCATCAGGTCAAAGGTTCCACATGTCCAGTACTTTTATTTAAGACTTAATACCTGCAGAACTAATGATTTTCCCATCAGCACCAACTGTACTTTGTGTTAAGTGCTAATTAACATGCTACGCAATTAGCGACACACCAGGAATGTTCTCACCACCATCCATAATTAGTTTGACTCTTTCCAACTGTGAGCAGCTACTTCATTTACTTTTCACATTGCTTTGTGAGACAACAGTGTACAATAACAACATTTTTGATTTTACTATGCATACTGACTGTTTTGCGTATCCTTTATTTTTGTGATTTTTGTAGCGTGAACACACCCTTCTTATAATTAGCCTAGTGTGTGTAGTCTGGGTTTGGGGCCCAGCATCAGAGTGGCTGCACCTTGCACCACATCATGAAATGAAAATATTCCGGCTGTCAGGTGAGTCACCAAAATTCAGCCTGATAAATTTGGTATCTTTGGAAACTTTGGGGTTCGCCACCAGAACTGATTATAAAGTTCTGTTAATCTGAGCAATATCTGGCCAATAAACATAAGTTTGTAAAGAAGCATGCCAAAACATTAATGTGCAATAATGTGTTCCAGTTCCACTAATGACTTCTTACATGAGGTCACACTTAGTGACCCTAAACACACTCCACATATCACATCACATAATTAGCACCATTGCGATCAAAAACACTTAATAACAGAGTCATGGGACACACAGAAGCTAACATATTCTGATTTATGTATGGTCTGATGCAGCTCGAGTCTAACACAGTCCGCTTTACTTTCATAACCCAAGCTGCAGTACCGTGAAGCGCCGCCAGGAGGCCTGCTGCTATTATGCAAGTTCACAATGCTGGAATTGTGTAACTCCGTGCAAATGTTAAGTTGTGTCCTATTCGCTGTGAAAACATGGACCGCTAACGGGTAAGCGGTGTACTTACGGATCAACTGGCTGTTACTAAATGCAGTACAAGTACGGAATAAGTCCATTATGTAACATTAACATTAAAGAGTAACCTGCAGTAATGTTGAGCTGCGTCAAAACAACGGGAGTTAGCGCCTGGCTAGCTACGGAAACAACGCCACTCTGTAAAATAAAAGCAAATAAAATGTCACCTTTTAGCAAGCATTAGGATTCCGAATATACTAAATGGCAAGCATGGACAAGGAACATAATACCGGAGTCGTTAAAGTAAGAATAAAGAGATGCTGATGGCATAATAGTCAATAATACAGGGGATTGCGCGTTATATTGTGAAAGTCCTGTCAGGAATTAGCACTTCCTTGTCATTGCTAGCTTAACGCCCGTTTACGAAACGATGCCAATGTCAGCGGCGTGTTTTAGAGTTTAACGTAACAATATGTTAAGACTAAACAACCCCGCTCCATAGCGTGAAACTGCATATAAACTGCATCAAAGAAAAAGAGTAGCACAGTTTACTCTGCGACATTGAATTACCAATAAATCATGAAACTTGAAGGTCTCCGTGCACGACTTTGATCGGGCTAACATAACAGTTACACTCACGTTGGATCAAGCGACCGGCGCTGCCCAGGACTGCCATCATGGTAACTTCCTGTTTTTACTGCTAATAAAAGTCTCTTTTCCCGCTGAGATGAAGGCTGGATGCTTGTGCGCTCAGCGGCTGGATCCACGAGTAGTTCCGCTCACTGAGTGACTCGCTGTCCAGTCCGCGGTGTCAGTCAGATTCCTGAGCTACCACCGGCTGCCTGCACAGACTGGCGTTAATGTTAAAAGATGACTTTTATACTTCCGGTTGGCAATTTCAAAATAAAACAATCGATGACGAACGTGGGATGATGCAATATTTTGCATTAGATTGTGATTCATTACTCATTTTATTTATCGTTTATTTACCTCTTCATTTCTAGCAGTATCTAACTATCCTATTATTCATATATTCAGTTGTCATTTCTTATTTAGACTTTTTAAGGTTTCTTGTAATTTTATGTCACTGTTGTAATCTCTATTTCTGTATTCTATAATCTGTATTTTATGTTCTCTGTTATCTGTTTACGTAAAGAAAAACAACAGCTCACTCGTTTCGCAAATAAAAATTAAAAGTTAACAAAAAGAGAGGAAATTGACAAATCTAAAATACAAATTTAGCCTACAGACAAAACATAACCACTGACAGGTGTTTTAATTCCAATTGTGACTCTGGGAAGAGCCAAATTAAAATGATTTAGGAATGTGCGCACAAAACATTTATGAAGCAAAATAACCATAATTAATTTCTAATCTTACCTGTACTGACTGAAATTGTATTCAAAGGTGTTATATATACCTAGCAGGTCTGTTACAGTTTTACCTCACATTTAATCTTAGGTTTTTTGTTTTTTAACCATAAGTATTTATCTTTATAGCCACGTGATTTTATTGGCGATACGAATTATGTGCTTTAATTGTGAAGACAATTTTGCCAGATTTCCGGTCTGCAGCTTGAATTCTCTGGTGTCCTTGATGCAGAGCCTGTAATTGGCGTCACATCTACGTTTGTCTAAATTATAAGATAACCCCGCCCCCGCTCTTGACGGTCACGCCCACATGCGTGTGTGTGTGTGTGTGTGTGTGTGTGTGTTGGTGTGTTCAGAGATAGTTTATCGGTCACACCAGGTAACGGTTCTATGGTTTAACCCTGTTTCTGGTGCAGAAAAGACGCAAGGAAGGAAGGATGGGAGGAGATAAGACCATGGCAGAGATTAAAGAGAGGGAGGATGGAAGGAAAGAAAGAAAGAAAGAAATGGGGGAGGAAGGAACAATGACAGTAAAATGTTTATTGTTTTTCTTTCTCTCAAGCTGAATACTGCACATTGTCTTTACTTTATGTGGCCAAAAGTATCTGGACACCCCTAACCACACACTATCAGGGGCACAAAACAGTTTGTAAAGAGATCATTTAGTCTTCAAAGGCTGCTCAGACCGGTTTTTCTGGACCGGAGCTTTGCTGCGTTTCCTTCTTCCTTTCCAAAACACTTCGTGAGAATCAAGCAGAGAGCCAAACAGGAACCAGAAACACAACAAACAAACATACACACAAAGCAAGAAAACACCAGCTCATAAGAAGGAAGCGCTAATCGCACACAAGCATGTCTCCATGTCTTCACTGCGCAGCCGGCGTTGCTCCACTGTGTCAGAATTTCTAGAGAAGTTTAGCGTTTCCCCGTTCAGGTCATGCTGGTGCGGTTAGTTTTCCTGGAGCATCATCTAGTGGCCATTTGAGAAACTGCAGCTTAGCTCATTTCAACTCTCAGCGGCTGATTGGTTGCTGCAAACATGCAAGGCAGAATCAGGGCCACTGAAAACGGTACGCAGCAGGTTTTCTCTTGTTTGGAGGGTGTGTCAGGTGTTATCCAATCAGCAGCGACAAGTATGCAAACGCGGCCCATTTAAAAAGGCAGTGCAGTGCGCTTGCGTAACACATTTTGGTGGATAGGAATAAACATAGTTAGAAAATAATGTTTTAAAAGTACTGTTTTAAAAGTAATTATAAAACTGACAATAAAATCAGAATAAATATTGCAAAACACATGTACATCCATCCATCCTCAGCCGCTTATTCTGCGTACAGGGTCGCCAATCCCAGCTTACACACTAGACATTTCTACCATGTACAGTATACTGTAACTAGGACTTAACCAACTGCATCTGTTTTCTCTCATTTTGGTTTTCTTTGACATGTTTTATGCCTTTATATTTGCTATATAAATGAACTTAGTTTGCCTTAAGATGAGGAGGGAAAAAACATTAAAGTTGATTATAAAATTTAACACCAGCAGGTGAGTAGTACACTTCAGCATTAGCCATCATTCAAAGAAAAGGTCTGAAGAAGTCTGCTCTGAATGGAAAAGCAAACGAAGGAGTCAACACATTCACGTTGAAGAAAAACCCTCACATAAGCTGTCAAGACTCCCATTTTATTAAAGTACAGTTTATTTCGTATTTTCACATGAAGAGGCAGTGCACACAGACATGATGAGACCCCGAGACATTTCTAAACCACCAGTGATTTGATGGACAGGCTGCCGCCAACACTTCATTTCTAACTTTGATTTCCAGACCAAGCCGTTGTGGGAAATGTATGGAAAGTGCACCAAAGCAGCGCTGTTGTTTCTGTGATTTAAGTTTGAGCCAACAAATAACAGGAATAAACATCACCAAGAGAGGATCAGAGCGGTGGTCATGTTTTTACATTGAAACTAATGTACAGAAACCACCACAGTAGGACAGGAGTCCACAGACTGATGTACTAACAAGCCTCCAACAGCAGAGAAGCAAACATTCTGTCACCTTTCTTTTTTTCTTTGATGAACGTGCTTCCGCAGTTTTCTTGTGTGAATCTGACCTGCGCAGTTTGTGAAGGGTGTAGTTTTTGGCCCCAAACAGCCAACAGACATTTTCATACAGATTCACATTTCATTCGGTAGGATTCCATTTGCATCTTAGAAAACGCTGAATAACGTTTGTATGATTTTCTTTTTAACGCTGTTGAAAATTGAATAATTAAGCTATTATTTGGCAGCATTCAAGTCAGCATTTTATCCCCCCCCCCTCCTCCAGGACTTGCAGACACTCTGTACAATAACAAGAAACTACAGTGTTTATTACTGGTTGGATAATCAGCCAACGAGCAGACGCAGAAATGATCAGATTCAGGTTTCAAGCCAGACCAAACTAGGAATAAGGAGGGAAGTTTGTGGCATGATGAAGTTTACAGTTAAGACTTTAACTCCTCAGAACTGAGTTTTTATACAGAAAATAAGAGCTAAAAGGGACAAAGCATAGAATTCTTTGTAATGTGATTTAATATTGCAGCAACACATTTTATGGGTCACAGAGCACTGCAACATGCCAGGTCCAGATATACTGACAGGATATATCTGTGTATGTGTGTGTGTGTGTGGGGGGGGGCCTTCAGGGTCGGCAGCGCTGGATGAATCGTGGGTACAGACAGACGTCTCTGATGTGATGTCTGTTCAGCAGCCAGGTGAGGAAACGCTCCAGACCCAGACCGTAACCGCCGTGAGGACACGTGCCATACTTCCTCTGAAACACAACACACAGTAGCCTGTTAACAGACACCATTACTAAAACAGAGTATGCACCATACTGCTGGTCAAGTTCCAGACAGGTTTCAGCAGGGCCTTGTCCCACTTATACATTTAAACCTCATCTACATCTTTTGCAAACAAGCTTCACCTCGACACCTCAGTGACTAACTCTAATCTGTGCTTTGCCTTAAAAAGTCACTTAAATGATAAATCAGACATTAAGATGGTTTCAGCTCTGATACAGTTGAATTAAATAGTATTCCTTTCTGGACCAGGATGTAAAAAAACAAAACAAAAAGAAGCCCTTAGTTTTCTGTTACCTGGTCAGTGTACCAGTAGTACGGGGTCGGGTCGATTCCCTCCCTCTTATATCCCTCCAGCAGCTCATCAGCGTCCCAGATACGCATCGAGCCTCCGACGATCTCACCGACATTTGGCATCAACACGTCGACCTGCAGCACGGACGAGACGTTCACACAGCTCATCAGTTCATATAAGAACGTAACTCCAGGGCTTCCTGCTCCGCTGTAATGTGGCACTCCACCCTGACCACACATCAGCTCCAAAGTGTTCCATTTAGGTTAGAGTGATATATACTCATGTGTCAGAGATGTGGCTGTACTATAATATCTCTGGTTGCACCATGCCAGGCCGTGTTGCAAACCAATGGAGCAGGCTGCTTCATCCCTATATTAGATTTCCTGAAGTTGTGCATTGTGCACTGGATTAGCCAGAATGAGACAATCTTATCTGGACATTTTATATACTTTTTAAAGGGATGCAGCAGGTTATATTTAAAGTTCTGTCATTAAATCCCACGAAAAGACTAAAATCAAAAATGAATGTCTGTGTATCCACAGCCAGATACATCTAATTCCCTTTGCCATGGAGCGCCACTGTGGTCTCAAAACTATTAAAAAGAGATTTGCTACAAACTACAGGGGCCCACTGTTGAAGAATGACTAAACGTGGGGTTCCTACACATTCGCCACAGTTTTCCACACTAAAATCTTCAGACTTCTGATCTGTAGATCTCTCAGACCATATTTGAAAAATAGCTAGATGAATATTATAAAAATATAAATAGTAAACATCTCTGAACAAAGAGGAAGTAAACTAACCTGTGCTACCTGTGCCTGTATTATTTTAACTTAACATACAGAAAAAGATATTATGTTATTGTTCCCTCCAGATTTTTAGTCTTTTTTAAATGAGAACTGAAATTTGTTTAAAAAAGTAAATGTATCACAAGTGTATGTGGACTTTCATACAGTGTGCAAATCAATGGAAATTGTAAAATACACACACACACACACACACACACACACACACACACACACACAGTCGATATAGACTACCGGCTATATACAGCATGTTAGCCTCGAAAACCCAGCTGTATTCAAACTTTAACTTAGCTCTCCTTATTAGCTAGGCTCCTTACATGCTTGCTAATAACTTTTTTTAAGCTGGGTCTCTGACATTGACAGTGTTGTGTTGGACAGATTTGTGCAGCTGTGTTCATGAGGAAGAGGGAGAGAGAGCGAGAGACAGAGACGGACGAGCGAGAGGATGAGCTGAGTCGAAAATCAATATGTGGCGGCCGGCGTTGATGTTGTGGCGGGCCGCCACAAATAGATGAACGTATGGGAAACACTCAGTACCCAAAGTTCAACTATATTCAAATTTGATCCCTGAGGTTCGTACCGACTCAGTGAGGCGTTTGTCCTCGGGACAGCGCTGCATATAGAAGGATTTGATCTCAGCCGGGAAACGACAGAGCAGGATGGTCTCGTTGATGGAGTCTGTCATCAGCCTCTCTGGAGCCTCGGGGATGTCCTGAGTGAGACAGACGAGTCGAAACACACAATTCAATAATCAAACTGAGGCCACAAAAATAAGAAGGTCAAAAGTCAAAACCTTAAAGTACTTTTAGTAACAATTTCTTTAACCACATTATTACAGAAAACTTTTTTTTTCAATGCTGTCTAATAAAAATCTATTGCTAATCTAAATGCATGTGGTGACACACAGATCAAAGCAGGATGCTGGAGAGTCTGAAAACTGCAGGTAAGCTAAGACCTTTATTACTGACTGGACCTGATGCCCTGCAGCTCAACTTCAGCCTGAAAGCAGCACAAACAGCTATCAGCTGTTTAACCACCTGCTCCCCAAATTAATCATTTCACAATCAATAACCACATTAAAGAGGCACCTATTTTCAATTTTACATGTCAAGTTCAGTTCACTCATTATGAAGCGTGCTACCAGGCAGGGTCTAAGGAAAAGATGCTATCGAGTTGAATTGTGGGAAATGTAGGATCCATGCTACAGAGTAAGTCAGGATATCTCAGCTCAGTCCCTGCTACTCTGATTTTGACCATTCTTTTATTAATCTGTCCATTGTGTCCCCCCCAATAGACTGTATAGAAAGATGGACGACATGACACCTTGATCGCCCCCTAGTGGCTGCCTGCAGTATAGGTCGTGCTGATGTTGCGATTCAAGTGTCGAATTTTCTAATTAGTTTGGTTTTAATTAGTTATTTGATGCTATAAAAAGGGGGTTTTAGTTCATGATTGACAGCTGAGTGTACGGAAAGAGCCTGCGCTAACTAGCAGACTTCTGGCTCCAAATCACGTCACCAGCGAAAGACGGCAGCGCCCGTATCAGAGACGTTTTTTTTATTTCATTTTTGTACAGAGGGAGGAAATGGAGAGGCATCCATCTTTATGTACAGTCAATGTATGGAAGCATAATCCTTAATTAATAAAAGTACCCCTCCTGATTTCTTTCTTTCCACCTACTTTATATAGAAAAAGGTTTTGTACAACTCTTCTTATTATATTAGTACTATTTCATTATATTCAATTGTACATTTTACTTTGACTGGTGTTACTCATGGAAGTGCTTTATGTTCTGCCTTCTTTTATGCATTTATCTCCAACTGAACCTGCATCAGGCAGACCCTGACTTACTGACAAAGTGAATTCTGGGCTTCTGCTCAAAGTTGTGAGTCATGACGAGAGTTCCTTTGTCAATAACTCATTTGGAGAATGATGTGTGTGTGTTAGAAATTCTGATACGTGGGCGCGTGTGTCGTGTTCAGTCGTCACCTCTCCAAACTCATAGTAGGAGCCGTCGTCCTTCTTGACGTCGTGCTCTCTGAGCCACTCGATGGCTTCAGTGTAGTTCATCCTCTTGAACGGCCTCTTGGGGGGTTTGAAGTTCTGGGGGGGAGACGACATGAAAGAAAATATTAATTAATATACAGTATCGACTCCATATGCTTATGAAGATGACATGATCAAAAGCTCAAAAATGAACTTTGAAGTGCAACATTACTATCGCCGTTATTTTGTTTATCAATCATCAAAATGATGATCAACATTTTATCAATCTGTGACGTACAGGGTTGATATCATAGAGCAGCTGTGCAGCGGGGGATTTGAGCACTCGGTCCACCACGTCACACACCAGATCCTCCAGTCTGTTCAGCAGATCCTCAAACGTCATGAAGGGACACTCAGCCTCGATGTGAGTGTATCTAGACACAAAAGAAATTCAGAATCATACATAAATAAATCAGAATGCAGGAGGGTTACTAACTCAGTTTCAGAAGACAGAAAACTGTTTGACCAACATATTCATCAATGCGCAGAGGTCAGACGAGGTAAAATCGACAGTTTGTGGCTCGTGTAATTAATATAACTCATGTATGTAAAACTTTGTACTCTGATTTATGCAGGTGACATGATGAGAGAATACAGTCACATAATTCCATCACATGCTGCTTTACAACACCCATATATGGGTTTTGTTATGGCTGACTGTTCTGTAACAATTCTGTATTTGTAATTCTCCATCCTGCTTTCATGTGGTGGCAGTCCAGAAAATGCCGCATATCTCCGGAGCGTTAATGAGCAGAAGACCAGTGCATATTGTGAAGCACAGAAGCTACACTGATCATGGTTTATTATGGTGATCTGCTTTTGCATCACAAAGTTATACTGTACTGCTTACAAGAGGGGAGGAGAACGAGAGAAAGGAGTCTCTCCCTCCTGCAGCGGCCTAAAAGAAAGTATAATGGCTGCTGGGGGATTATTCATCAGTTTCCAAGAAATAAAAACCACAAGGCTTTAAGAAAAACACTGACAACTTCTCTCAGACTGTATCTGCGGTCACAGCATAACTTTTGTCAGAAACAGACAATTATGTGAATAAAACAACTTAATCATGAATTCTGTTTTTTTACAGTGTTGGTTATCAAAGAGAGCGGGAGGTACTCTTTGGTACAGTACAACATTTTTTTGCTTAAAATGAAAATGAAAACGATCTCTGTCCGCAGCAGCGTTTCAGCTGCGTTTCAGAATTGATCTGTCAATACTAAAACGACTGAAAACGCACATCTAGTGGCCGTTCACGTACACCTGGCATGTGTGTGCCGGTGTAAACATGAAGCAGCTGCAGAAGATGCAGCCAAAGAAGAAAGTACTACTACAGATGAAGGACCACACCAGAGATTTTTTTTGCATGGACCGCCATCGAGATTGAACGGTTACTGAAAGCATCGCGGGAGTCCAAAGAGACAGAGGTGGCAGAAAACAGACTAGGAGTCGTTACAATCTCTTCCTCTGTTGTGAAGACCCTCAGTGGGCTGGCTTCAGTATTTATCCCCTCCTTGCTTAGCAGCCTAAAAAAGCCTTTTTTAGCCGTATTTCCTACACCATGCTACTACTATATGTGTAATAATAACTATAAGAGCACACTCACTCAGACAAGTGTCTGCGGGTGCGGGACTGCTCGGCCCGGTACGACTGGGCTATGCAGAAGGTGTCGCCCAGGGCAGGTATGCAGGTCTCCAGGTAGAGCTGGGAGGACTGCGTCAGGTACGCCTGCTCGCCAAAGTAGTTGAGGTTAAACAGCGTGGAGCCGCCCTCCACCTGAGTCTGCACCAGGGTCGGGGGAGTGATCTACACCCAGAGAAGAAACAAACAAACAGTGGTTAGAGAGCATGTGATCCTGAGCTCACAGCCTTCAGATTTCAGTAATATTGCTACATTTACTATGTCAAGTAAGACATTATCACACAAAACTAAGCATTCCAGTAGGACACCAGCCATTGGAAGCCTACCGAAGACTTTCCTCCTTTCAAAAGTAAAAAAACAACAACAACAAATTTGAAAATCACCTGACAGCAAAAAGGGATGACTTCATTTCAGCGTGTGCGCCTCACCTCATAGTATCCGCGGCTGAAGAAGTGGTCCCTGAAGCACTGCGTGACTGTGGATCGGACTCGGAGGATCTTGGAGACGTTCTCCCCTCTGATCAGCATGTGCCTGTTGTTCAGCTGGACGTCCACGTCCGACTCTTCGTTCAGCAGGTTGTCAGCCCCGCCCGCCGGAGCTAAGCCAATCAGCTCCCAGAAGTCACAGTGCAGCTCGTGACCTCCGGGCGCCTGGGAGGGGAAGACGAGAACTCACTTAAGACCTTCTTCATGTTTGTGTTCTGCACCCCTAATGTCACATGTTAATTATTTTAACATGTGATACTAAAAAAAAGTCCATCTCTTCAGCTGTGGCTCAGTTTAGGGCTACAACTAATTATTCTTTAATGTTTTTAACTAATCATTAAACTAATCATTTTCTGACTTTCTATGTCATAAAATAGTGAATACCCATCAAAATTCATGAGGGTCTTGAGATCTTCAAATGTTGTTTTGTCTGACCAACAGTCCATATAATCAATTTACAATGATATAAAACAGAGAAAAACAGCAAATCCTCACACTTGAGAATCAGAAACCATAGAATGGAAAATGCTTTTCCTTAATAAATGAATTTATCAAATAGCAAATTTGTGTGGATCCAACAACTATCCGATTACATGTTTTAGTACCAATTCAATCTCACCTATGCAGGCTATTTTACAGTGATATTTTGTTTGGTCATTATACAGAATTAAATTACAGGAAACATACTTTTCCACAATATTCTAATTTTCTGAGAACCACCATGTGTGGATTACACAGTGATCAGATTACTACAGGTGTGAGCTGCAGCAGGTGTGTTTACCTGTTTGCCCTCAGGAACTGGAGTGACAGTCCCGTACAGAGCTACAGTACTCTCTGTGGACAAAACCAAGGCATTGTAGCACTGGCACTGAAGACAAGAATGAGAAAACAAGTCACCATCAACATTTTAGCTCAAGTAGGTGTGATATCGATAAGTTGTGTTTGAAGTGAAGCCAGGTGGCTTCCTACCCGCTGGTTATCTGCCTGACCAATCACACACATTTTGTTTTGAGCATGCTCTGATTAAAAGCTTTATTTTGCCTTATTTTCATTTGAACATTTGTACATTTTAGTTGGCATCTATTCCTGAGTCACAAACACAACCTGAACTAGAGACAAGTGTGGTAATATCAACCAGGAACAAGGTGAATACAAAATATATCTATATATATATATTAATTTATTTATTTTAATTTAGGTATATAGATATATAGTTTTCTGATTAAACTGTATCCTCTATTTAACATTCATTGTTTCAAGTTTGTTCCATTTCAGAATAAAATTACTTGTTTTATCGAACATTTGAGAAACAGAAAATTAAAAACGTTTCTCCCTCCACACATACACGCTTTATGAAGATGACAAACCTGTCTTAGCTTCAAATGTTGTATAACATGGATGAAGACCAGACGTGACAGCACTGTGATGTAACTCACTGCACAAAGTGTAACATGGGGAAGTTTTTAAGTTTACCAGTTTATCAGACAGGACACACTGGAGGAATCCAGTTCCATCTCTCAACACGATGAACATCAGGTTCTTCCCTGCAGGAGACAGAAAATATACAGTGAACCAATACGAGTCAAACCTTCAACTGAGTTCAAAGTAAGTAAGTGTTTCCTTTCCTGCTCTGAAGCTCGAACAAATATGCCACAAAAAACATCTTCAAACTCAGAAGACTGATACTTATCACAACATTGCCAGATTTTACGATGGGTAAAACATGCGTACTACTTTTTATTTTAAAAAGGCTCCTCACCCTGTCTCCTGAGGCGGTGAGTCCATCCGAACACCTTGACTCTCTGACCTCTCTTGGCCTCCAGGTGATGGATTTTAGCCTGCAAACACACACATCTTTAGGACTTTAGCACGATAGGGCACAGCTGTGTTTGGGGTACCAAAGATTTATTAACTGTTTAAACTCAGTTAGAAATGCTAAATAACAGGTTAAAAGTGGTACATTAGGACTAATAAACTAGAAACAATATGTAATGTGTAAGAGACCGTTTCAGGCTCAGGCAGGCTGGAGTCGTTCTCAATGACGATCTTCTTGGCTTCATCCAGGTTCTTCTCTCTTCTCTCATTGTCGTCTGCCTGCACAACAAACATGGAGCAAACATTTAAAGACACTGTATCTGTTTCTCGGTTGTATAAACATGAATTAGGACACCCCACACCAAAAAAAACCACCCTTAAATGAGATTTTCTGATTCATTGATGACTGTTTTATGTTGCTCTAGCGGGACGCGAGGCGTATCGTAGAACACTCACCTCCTTCTTTTCCTTGGCATCGCATTTCATCTGCTCACGGTTAAAGGCCTTCTTTGCGTTCTTCATCTGCGTCTTAGAGATCACAGCCCAACGCTGAGGAAGAGAAAGACAAGAAACACATACACAGTGAATTACAGTTACAGCAGTAACAGCTCTGCTAAGCAGCTAGCCCCAGCCCACCCTGTTTTGTAATAACACTTGTGCCTCGAGAGCAGATAGTGAGTCACTGCAGTAAGGTGCATCTGTAATTCTCGTTAACGTTAAATTGAGACTGTATAGACCAAGTAGTAGACCGACTGAAAAAATAGTTTACATCTTGTAACCGCCTGGCGTCACTGTTATGAGATGAGGCAAGAGCGGAAGTTTGGAAAGTATACACTTTGCTACACGATGCAAGGTTTGTTAGGGGTATCCTGACAGTCTTTGACCTTGTCATTACTGCAATTAGTGCAATTCTTGTGAAAGGACGTGAAATGGTGCATCCTATTAGTTTGGAGTTGACAGTCAGGAATTACACATTGTACCTTTAGGAAATGAGGAAAAACTTTCTTTTAAACTCACCTCTCCCTCCTTCTGTGATTCTACATAGATGGTGGGGAATGGTTCCTTTCCAGCACACATCAGAGCCTGTGCACGTACAGTGAACATATGACATAGCGACATATTAGTGCATCTGCATTAACCAGTGCAGCAATATCAATAATATCCCAAATGCTATTTCTACTATTAACAATACATCCTGTAGCATGATGCATTTTAAGCAACATATCTGGACACAATGAAATAAAACAACAGAGGTACTTTAAGACGCGGGCGTTTACCTTGAGAGGGGTTTTGAAGGGTTTCTCCTCTGTGCCATCCCCATCCTGGTCGCTGCCACATTTGTCTGATACATAGAGCTGACCTGTGAAACAGAGGATGAGTGAGAAGCAGCACTCCCTCTCAGGCATAGAACATACCTACCAAATTTACTCGTCTATGACTAACATTTGATAAAAACTACAGTTTCAAGCTGTTTTAGAAAAGTATTCAGCCCATTTGTGATTTGTTAACATAGATTTACATCTTCAGTAGGAGCCGTTGAGCTTTGGGGAATAAGTCACGGCCCAATAAAAAGGCACTGAACAAATATATTTATCTACATTTTGCAACCCAGGTGGAGCAGAGTGTGACGCTCTCTGCCCCGGTTTGGATCGTAGGTAGGAAACTGATTCTCCCTGAGACAGAAAAGTCCAGAAAAGTCTCCCTCCAGTAAAGCTGCCGCCTTCTAAATCGCTGGTGTTACTTGCCTGAGGAGAAATCCATAGGGCAGGGTATTGATTTCAATAGTTTTTTGGCACCGACCGAATTGCCTCGATACCATCGGGTGTCAAAAAATGTCTCGTCTTTCGGAACCAAATTTTGATACCTAAAGGTTTCATCTCGTCAAAGTCAATGAGCCAATAAGCATGCAGCATGCTTGATGTGCCCTAATCTAAAAGTGCTTGTAATTGGCTGGTGGGATGTAAACACTAGTTCACACTGGTTACGCAGAGACGTGGCTCACGCCTGAGGCTGTAATGTGTATGCATTCCAAAGCCAATCGCTAGATGTAAAAGATGTGGACGCGATGAAGCACTGCATGGAATTAACTTAAGAGCAGAAAGTCGCTCCATCTTCGACTGCAAGAAGACCGAGCGGGTGCAGGCATCGTCTCAGCGCCCTACTGCCACCGAGCCTGCTTCAACATGCCCACCATACGAGAATACTGATGAAGGCAGCGGCGCCACGACTGAGACTCCTACAGGTAAGGATAACGTTTAGCAAACAAACAAAATTGGCCAACTTGTACAGCCTTGGATCCCAGATTCCAGTCAAAAGTGGCAGATAAAGAGTGGAGGAGGAGCTGATCAGAAGGACCCCAGAACAGGTGTTAATCGTTATTAGTAATCTTCTACTTCTCTTCAATTGTAGATCAATAGATGAATTTGTATGCTACTGAATATAGATTCAGGCCCAGATGGAACAGGGGCTCAAAGAGGGGTGCCCGAGATGATAGCTCGTCTGTTGAAGACAGTGCAGCTGCAGTAGCAACACTGGTGAGAAAATATAACGACATCATTATTTTTTCTCGCCCATTTAATTTGCAGAAGAAAACGATCTTGTTTGTATTTACCGTAATAGTGTTTTTGATTTTTCTTTATTTCTTTACTTATGTGTTCACAGAAGAGGCCAAAGCTCTCTACCCTTGAGGAGCGGTTTGCTTTGGAGGACATGGAAATTGAAGTAAGAACAGAAACCACTGTCAGCACTACAGATAAGATTCAGGCAGAGATAAAGCACTACAGATTCCTTCCATCTGCGCTGTCCTCAGTGAGTCCAGTAACCTGGTGGTGGGACATGAAGGACACTCTGCCAATGCTTTATAATTTGGCAACAAGTAGGTCTGGGCAGTAACACAAACATGATAATTATCACAATATAATTTTCCTCAAAAATTTTACAAATTAGCACTTCATTTTTCTATTAAGATCATTAATTTTGTTGATGAAAAGAGACTGAAAAAAGATTTACTAATAATATTTTTTGAAAAAAAGATTTTATCCTAATAGTTTTGAATGTTCTACCTCAGACTTAGGAAGTGATCCTCTGTTTGGCATCAAGTGTTTGTCACGTTTTGACCGTGAAGACATTTTTTTACCACACAAATAACGATCTGATTTCTTCAATTTTCCCTCAGGAGCAAAAATCAGGAGCAAAAATAATGATTTGACATTTTTTTGAATTTCTTTTAGCGTGATAACATTTTTGGCCATGTCGTAGCAACGAGGTATCTCTGTGTGCAAGCATCATCCACACCTTCAGAGCATACATTTTCTACTGCTGGAGACATTATCAGTCAGGAGCGGACTTGGCTGTCTCCTGAAAAAGCAGACATGCTCATTTTCTTAAAGAGTGCTGAATGATTTAGAGAACTAAAGTATGCAGCAGTGAGCCTCACATACAGACTTGAAACTATTTCATTTGCACTGAAAACAAACTATTGCAGTGATTGCACTGATTTATTGTTGTGGATTTATTGTGGAAAGAATAGGTATCACCCAAGCCTAGTGCTTAGTCATCTGCAGCTTACCAGACTATACAGAAATAGAGAACATGGATGTATTGCTGGTGATGCCACCACCAGGATTCTGCAGGGAGGTTTGAAGCCTCATTTAGCGATATGGCCAAGCTCTGTGCAGGCACGTCAAGTACTTCCACACCTGACTGGGAAAACCATTTCTTCCTCCCCTATTTTTAGTTCCCTGTTAGCAGCAGTGGTTTACGTCTTCAGAAGTATTTTGGTGATCTAACAGACATCTGCACTCGACAATTAAATTTTAGTATTTCCACAGACTGCCCTGCTCCACTCCGCTGGCTGGCGCAGTTTGTGGAGATACTGAATGGAAACACTGGTTTCTCAGACCAAACATTTTATCACTGCAGGAATACTGTAGACACCTGCAGGACAACATCATAAATAAGGTTTGAGTTGGGCTGGCCAATCAAACAACAACAATATAAAAAATGTTTAATTTAATTCATTTGAATTCCGAGAAAATTAGCACTTAACTTGTTGTTTAATATATTTTTTTGTTGAGGAAAACAGCCTGAACAAAGATTTTACTTCATTTTACTCATATTGCATGCATATTTGTTCATAATTGTTTTAAATGTTCTACCTCAGTTTTGTTGTGTTTGTCATGTTCTGACCATAAAGAATAGTTTAAAACCACAATTAACCGTCTGGTTTCTTCAACTTTCGCTCAGGAGCAAAAATCTGCCTTTAAACTTGAAAGAAATAATGATCTGACATTTATCGATATCGAATGATATCCTTTTTTAAAATCATGATAACAGTTTTGGCTTTATTGCCAGGCCCTAAGTTTGAGTGAGGAAATGAGATGGGACCAAATCACGACCAAGCCCATACATCTCCCACCTTGTACTCTCTCTTCCGCATTAGGCCTGTGTGGTTATTCTGGAAACCACAGGATAGAATAAAATTAGTTTTGTTGTCATTGTTTTATTGCTAAAGTAAACAGCAGTTTTAAGCAGAGATGATAAGTAGCCAGCTTTTGTAAAATAACACGAGCCTTCGGTTGGTTGGAACTTCGCTGAACATCTGAGATTAAATCACAGTAATACGATGATGTTATGAAGCGGCAGTTCTGAGCTGGGTATTTTTATTACAATTAAAGAATATGACAGTAGTTTGATGTCTTGTTATTTGGAATTGGTAAGCCTGCAGCCTAACGTTACTCTTTATTCCCCTCATAAATACAGAAACGGAGGGGGAGTCACATTAAACTAGAAATAAAATGTAAAAAGTATTGGTATCTGTATCAGCAGTACCAGCCTGGGTTTTAATTGTTTTTTTTTTTTTTATCATATAGGAATTAAGTGGTATCGCATATCTCTACCTCCGAGAGACTAAACTGAAATCTGCGAATCTATTATTTTAAACGGATCACAAATGACTGAAATATGTTGCAGAGCGCGACCCTGCTGACTATTTTACATCGTCTGTTGACTGAAAGACAGAATTCTAAAGCGAGGCCGGTTCATGCGCCGGGTTTTAGGTTTTAACTGACAGCTGTCATGGCTAAACATTAACTGTTAGCCCACAGTCCCCTCTGCCGGGCTCACAGTATTTATCTGGGACTGTCATTCATTCAGCAGCAGCAGCAGGTAAATTATGCGACTGAAACTCTCTCCTTATGAATGAATATCGAGCCAGAAGCCAAACTTAGCGTTTCAAAATCAGAAATCAGCGTTAGCTAGCATGCTAACATCACCGCAACTGATGCAATATGCATTCACATGTCTTTGGAAGCTAGCTAACTACCTGCTAGCTCTGGCTGATCTAAATTTCTTCTTACCCACTGAGACTTGTTCCACACCTTTCGTTATCTCCGTCGCCATGTCAGCCCAGGTGCTACGACAGTTCGCTACGGAGGGGGAAACTAAATAACTGTTATTCAGAAAATGGAAGTTAACGTTAAACCCCAGAACAGACTGCCGGTGGTGTCAATTCAACTGCGGACATGCAACTTTGCATCAGCCCAGCCGCAGCGCGGAGGAGGAGGAGACTGCTGCTGCTTCTTCTTCGTTGAGGTTTAACTGCAGCCTGCATTCTCGGTGTTGCATTACTGCCATCTTCTGGAGTTAGTTAACCTATAGTCTTTGGATTTCCCCTATCAATCCTGTCCTCCTAAGAAAGCTGACTAGACACTTCCTGCCTTGTCCACTTCCACCTGTTTTCCACCACACTCCAGTGACCCCTGTGAACCTGCTCCTGTTAGCCGTGATGTTTTCATTCCCTTCATCACGTCCTTTCTCTCTGAGGTAGCCTATATTTCCTACAAGTATGTGCTAACTGAAAGATGTTCACAAAGTCCAGTTGGATGCTTCGCTATAATTTGGAGAGTCCTGTTCAGGTTCCTGTAGTCCCATTCTCAGTCTGGCCATTAGGCTACTACCTCTTGTCCATTTCCTCCCTTATTTTTCCCAATACCCGTCTTCCTTTTACAGTATCTCCTGATCCCAGCGCTGTGTATTTACTTTTTGTATAAATATTGAACTCACTAAATCCAGAATTTTCTTTCTTGCCTTAACTTAAAGTAGCTCTAAATGTACCACCAGTGGCTCAAGTACACACACAGGGGTTGTAGGCTGCATCGCCGTTGGGCAGAACTCCATTCCATAAACTTCCAGGTCTCCTCCTGCTGCATCTCCTGTCCAGCAAAAGCTTGATTCTACTATTCCCCCCCCTTTCCCAGCAGGACCCAGTTTCAGAAAGTGGATTTACTAAACTCTGAGTTGACTAGTCCTGAGATGGAAAACTCTGAGTTTTCGGATCCACAACAGCTGATCATTTAGTTCAGTCAATATAGCGATAATAATGCAGTAAGCATACTGTGCACTATTAGTTTGAATCAGAAAAAGTGTCAATAAATTAGCACAATGATGTTTTATACAGTCTGTCCATTAATTCATCATTAACCAGACTTACACGTGGTGGAATTTGACTGTGTATTAGGTTGTAGACTACATTGAATTTATATATATTTGTTCAGTTTTAATCTGACAAGGACAAAACACAGGGGCCAACAACTGAAGAGGAAAATATAGTTAAAGATTTTAAAAATATGTGGGCTAGATCAACGACATAGAGGGGAGGTAATAATGGCCATGTTTGGTCATTTACACTTGAAAAGGGCATCAAGGTTAAAATACAGCAGGATTTAAATTTCTGTCTGTTTCATCTTATTTGGATCTTGGCTTAATGGCCTTCAGTGGCTTTTTTTTCAGCTATTTCAACAAATTTAACCAAAGTCACTACATTGTAGGTAAAACACAATCACACAAAACACAGCCTATTTAAAAAAGTCCCTTTCTGACTACATTCTGCAGCTGCAGCACAATCCTGCTCACTCATAAATATTAACATATAATCTCCAATATTATAGGAATATGTTCTGCAGAGTAACCAATACAATCAGAGATAATTATTCATTGATCCCATGTCTTAAGCTTCATTGCGGTTATTAAATTACACATTATGTGCAATACATTTTTTAGTGGAATTGTTTCGACTGTCTTGTGTGCAGCAGGGTCATAGTGTAAAAAAAAAAAGGTCAGGACCAGGATGCTAATTCTGATGTACAGTAAACCTCTGCTAAGTAATGCGCTTCGATATGGACTGAATTGACGAGAGCCTGAAACAGCATGCCTGGCTCTGTAGAGGGAGGAGACAGAGAGAAAACCTTACAGCCCTGACATATTCAGCTGGCTGTGACTGTGGAAACCTACGTGGCATCGTGAGAACCGAACAAACCATTAAAAAGAAAAATCATTCATTTAAAAAAAAAAAGCATTTTCAAGCAGCCGCAATGTGTTGCACACTTTCACATCAAACTTTTGAGAGAAAAGCAGAAAGGAAACGTAGCGTGGTGCAGATAAAGTCACAACAAGAAAGTGCTAAATACAATTTAAGCTGCTCTGGAAAAAGCATGGCCTGATTAAGAGGATGAAAACTTTAAATGTGCTCATTCATTTTATTTATAATAATTTACTCCATTTTATTATTAATCAAAGTTTTTCTGTACATCTAGTCCATTTTAACCATTTGCACTGTGTTTATTTATTGCTAAAGATATGATATTTTAAATCTCATCCTCACATAGGCTCACACAAGTTTACAACTTAAACAGATTAAAAACAAGAAATATCCCCAAATAAATCAATTTTTCTTTTTTCTTTACTTTTTAAAAGATCTTTCTTTTGTCACATTTAAGTTTTCTTTTTGCAATCGTTTATTTTTTACAAATATTTTAATCTAAATAATAGTTAACAAAATATTTAAAAAGATGAAGAATAAACCTCACTTGTCATTATGGGCATGATAACCACCATAGCTGAAAAAAGACAGAGCACTACATACAGAAAAGGTTTGCAGATTCCAGCAGAGGCTCCATCAGTATGCAAACCAAGTCCAGGACAGAGTGGCCGGCTGAATGTGGTCTGGACTCTGTGGAGGAGAGTCATGGTTTCAGAGACCCTGTAGAAGCACAGAACGCCTGCCATGTGATCCAGGTACACTTCTCTTTTGGAGGACTGGGGGCCTGAGATGGAGGTTCTGATGTTGTTATGTCTGAATTCATAACCACCACAAAAAACACTGTAATGCCCAAGACTGCTCACTGTGTCCAAATACACTTTCTCTTCCTGCTCTGCTAATTTCTTTGTATGCAACTGCTACAAAAACTTCCTTATCCCACTCTCTGTTCAAATCCACCTCCCATTAACAACGTCCAGTCAGACTTTCTCTACACAAAACCTGACACCGGTAAGTAAATCTATCTGGGTGGTTACAAAGTTTTGGATAGTTATTATATTCACATCTTGCCTTTGTGCTACCCTCAAAGCTCATACATCTGTGTGCTGAGTTTGGATCCAGTGTGATTTGACATGAATATTTGAGGAATTCAGCTCTGGTCTTGGGCTCTGCCTGTGGCAGGAAACCATCTTCTTCAGTCTTTGTCAGTGAGATCTTGCACCATTCCTCACTAAGAATGTCCTCTAGTTTGTCTCTGACCTCTGCCACAGCTGCTGTCACATCCTCACTGTAGCTCAGAGGACAGATATTGATGCTGGGTATAGCTACACAAAGGCGTGACAGGAAGGTGTAATTGTGTAGAACCTGGGCGTAGTCCTCTGTGTGTAAGAGCCGCTCCAGCTCAGCATCTTTCCTCCTCAGCTCAGCTATCTCCTGCACCGTCTTCTCCTGAAGCTCGTTGACACGAGTCACTTCAGCATTTTGACGAGATGTGATCTGCTGCTTCACATCATTGAAGATCTTCTCACTGTCCTTCACTGCTTTATCAGCAGAGTGATTGATAGCTTCCACCTCCTGTTGAAGCACCTTCACTTCTTTCTCTCTGTCCTGGATTATCTGCTGAATCTTTTGCTGACTCACCTCGAGCTCTCTCTGCCTCTTAGTCATTTCTGCAGCAGCTGAGACTGTGTCGTGGCCTTTATGTTCGTCCATGGAGCACGGATAACAGATACACTGCTGATCAGTACGGCAGAAAATCTTCATCACCTCATTGTGGCGAGAGCAGATGTTCTCCTGGAGCTTCTTGGAGGGCTCCACCAGCTTGTGTTTTTCAAAGGCGGGGGAGTCATAGTGAGGCTGGAGGTGCTGCTCACAGTATGAGAGGTCTGCACTGAGGACAGCTGTGGATTTCTTTCTGATCCTCTTCATCCCAGCGGCTTTTAATACAACGCATGCAGTAGTTGTGCCCACAGGGAATAGTCACTGGATTCTTCAGTAGCTCCAGACAGATCGAACAGCAGAATTTTTCATTTTCCAGCTAAAATTCTGCACCGAAACTGCCAAAATCAAAAGTAAATAAATAAATTACTCAATAAATAAATTAGCATGCCATTTATGATGTAAAATGAAATCATAAAAAATCATAAAATGTGAACTACATAAATTGATATTTCTGTTTTAATCTGCTTCCTATTTATTTACGTTATCATTTAAATGTCCATTGTATTTATTAATTCATTTATGTGAATGTATTTATTTCTTTTGCATGTAGACCATTAGACCAGGTCCAGATCAAAAACCACAGTCTAGAGCTGTCAAATCTGGACTACATTATTCCACAGAGGCTAAAGTTTCTATAAAACATGGTTTCAGATTTGTGAAACATTTATTCAATTTGTGAAAATACTAGAGCGATTTATGTGTTACTTTTCACATGTAGGCCACATTAGACGATGGGCAGATCAAAAACCACTACACCTAGAGCTGTCAAATCTGGACTAAATTGGTCCGCAGAGGCTAGGGTTTCTTTAAAACACAGTTTCAGATTTGTGAAAATACTGTAAATGGCTATTTATCTCCTTTTTTGCATGTAATCCACATTAGACCATTAGAGCTGTCCAATCTGGACAAGATTATTCCACACAGGCTAAGGTTTCTTGAAAAAACACAGTTTCAGATTTGTGAAACCTTTGTTTTCTTTGCGAAAATGACAAAAGGGCGATTTCACTGCCTTTTTTGTACGTAGACCACATTGGACCCGGTCCAGATCAAAAACCACTATACCTCGAGCTGTCAAATGCAAAGTTAGCCTTTTTTAATGACCAAAATTTAATTTAATTTTAATTTCTTTCTGCATTTAATTATTTATTTCTGCATTTATTTATTTATTTATTCATTTATAGATATGTCATTTTTAGTCCCTCATACGGAGGAGGAGGAGGACGAGAATGCTGCTTCTGCTTCCTGATTGCTTTATATGACACATCTTTTGTCTGTATAGACCAGAGTGGCTACAACTGAGAGCTCTGTTAGGTTTGGCTTGTTCAGCCCACTCTACAGCTAACTAAATGGTCTACAACTCAACCTAAAGTTTTACATCCATTTGCATATTGCAACACGGTGGCTCGTAACTCTAAATCTACCACCAGTGGTTCAAGGACACACGCCGGGGTTGTAGCCACAACTTTTTACTGTTCCATCCCTTTTCCAGGCAGGACCCTGAAATGGAAAACTCTTGACTTCTCGGG